TTTTTATTGGTCAGATCATCAACAATATCATTAATTTCCGCTTGAAGCTGCGCGCAGTTCGCCATTATGCCGCCATCAGCTGTTCCCTTATCACTCAGCTCACCAACGTGCATTTTGATCTGATCAAATGGCACCCTGGCCTTTTGAATTAAATCCCCAACATACTCCTGAACCTTGGTCTGTACATTGTCCTTCAACACCTTCAGATCCGCTATGAGTTTCCATCCAAGCCCTTCCATCGCCTCCTTTGTCTGTTTCACAGCTGCGTCAACATCTGTTTTAACATTTATTAATTTGTCCTTATAAACGTCTTCTAGAATTGCAACCGCCGACTGCACAGTATTGAGTTGTTTTTCAAGCGGTGACTTGTGCTTCTCATCGGACTGAATATTTTTTAACGACATTTTTATTTCAGTGAATTTGCCTTTAATAACATTTTCATACGTCCGCTGAAATTTGGCAAGCAAATCGTTGGCAGCCTGAGCTGCCTTATCAACAGCCTCTCGTATGTATTTGATATGCGCATCTTTTACTTTATCCAAGTTATCTATACTACTCCCGATTTTCTCAAGCTTCATATTAATGTCACTTTGCATTACAGTTAGACCATAGTCGATGTCCTTTTTCAGCTTCGCCTCCTGCTCTTCCAACTCCCTGTCCACCACTTGCGCCTGGCTCCTAAGCTCTTCATCCTCCGCGCTCCTCTTGAAAGTGTCCGCCGCCTGCACAACCAATGATACTTTACATTCAAACTTACCTCTCAAAGTGTCGTCAAGTTGATTCTTAGCATTTTCCGCCAACCTGGCCTTCAACCAATATGAAGACGCCCCGGCCACCACAGTTTTCAACTGCTCACTAAGTGACTTAGTATGCATATTATTAAATTCAGTGTTCAGTGAGCTAATTGTGCCGCTAAGTGAAGTTAATTGTGATGTAACTCCATCCGTTTTTGTACTCATCCCACTCTCATACCCCTCCAGCCCCGCCTGCACAATCCCAATGGCCTGCGCAAATCCCTGAACACCGGAGCCCTTACCTATTTTACTTTCCAAGTCACTAATTGTCCTTGTAATATCACTATAATAGTGCTTTAACAAAGGTTCACTGCCCTTAAGACATTCAAGGAGAAAGGACATCACCCCGTCGCACAGCCTGTCAAGGTCGGAGTACACGATGCCGGAGCCATCGTAGCCTTTGGAAGTTTCTTGGTAACCAAGGAACTTCTCCAAGCCAGAGCACAAATTTGTTAAAAGCTTTTTAGTATTATCTTCTTTAGTGTCAATTTTCTCAGCATATCCACAAAGCTGATTCAGTGTCTCAAGAGACCTCTTGGAAGCATTATGAGAGTCAAGATCCTTATTAAGTTTGTCAATTTGAGAGGCATTTTTAGTATTATTTTCATCACTTTCCTGCTCGTTTTTAAGCTTATTAATTTGCTCATTAAGCCCCTGAATTTTTTTAGGAATTTCATCATTAAGCTTATTTAAGGGATCATCAAGATCATTTAAATTGCAGTCAGTAAGGATTTTAGCAAGATTTTCAGAGGTTTTTTGTTCATCTTTAAGCTTATTTTTAAGGCTTTCATTGACTTCATTAAGCTTAATTTTTTCATCCTTACAACACCCCTTATCTCCGCAAGACGTTTGTAAAAGCTTAACAAGCTGAGTTACATTACTGTGCAAACCATATAAAATTGCCTTTTTAACTTCATCTCCGCCGCCAATAAAACCCGAAAGCTGCCCAACAAGCGTACCAAGAGAGATACGGCGGGACTCAAGATCCCCTAAGGCTCTTTTTCTAGCATCGTCAGTAAGGTAATGAGCGTCATTGTAGTGATCATTATAGTTGGATTGAAGGTGGATTAAGGGAGAGTTAAAAGAGGTAAAGGGGGAAGAAATGGCACATTTTAGGGCGATTTGGGGGAATTTGGGGAAGGGCGATTTTAGGTGGAGGAGGCAGTGAGGCAGCGAGGGAGGTGGGTGGACAAGGTGAGGGAAGTGAAGGGGCGAAAGAGGGCGATGAGGAAGTAAGATGGGTGGAGAGGAGGCGGTTTAGGGGGTGGAGAAAGAAAGGTGGAAAACGAGGATTTGGGAGAAGGACGCCGACGGAGGAGGTGATGGGAGGGGTGAAGGGAGAGGGAGCGGAGCGACCAGTGAAAGTGGTGAGTGAGTGGTTGAGTGGTTGAGTGAGTATGTGGGTGGTTGAGTGGGTGGTTGAGTGAGTGAGTATGTGGGTGAGTGGTTGAGTGGGTGGGTGAGTGGGTGAGTGGGTGGGTGAGTGGGTGAGTGATTAGGTGAGTATGTGAGTGAGTAAGTGGGTGGGTGATTAGGTGAGTATGTGAGTGAGTGAGTGGGTGATTAGGTGAGTGGTTGAGTGGTTGAGTGGGTGAGTGGTTGAGTGAGTGGGTGGTTGAGTGGGTGAGTGAAGGCACGATTACGGTGAGAAGTACTTGACGTTGGCGAGTGCCTTGACGCGTGCGGCGGCGAGGAGGGACTGTGCGGCGATGCGGTGGCTTGAGGGCGATCTCAGGTGGGAGCGTATCCTCAGGACGTCGAGGCGGACGACGGCGATGTGCAGCAGGTACAGGAGCGACAGCGACCAGAGGGATAACAACGTTAGCATGAAGGGCCATCTGATTTTTAGGAGGAAATTCGGAATCGTTATATTGGTCAAATCGCCAAGTGCATTTCCCTTTTGCAAAACCATATTTAACAAAGTGCAGAAATCCCTACATGTACGCTTGGTTACTGGCTCATACGTACCGGCGAGATCAGATGAGTACCCGAAAGTGAATCCATATCTGCACAAGGTAGGCATAGTTGTTTGGCAATTGACTATGGATATGCAACTGTCACTGTGACTGGAGTTGGTTGGCTTTCTGCCAACATTACATTTTTGTGAACAAGGAGCCTTACGGCATTTCGGCTTGTCACCGCCACACGTCTTACAACAATCATCGTATAATTTTTTGAGTAAATCGTAAAATGTTTCAGTAACATATACAACCCACGAAAGGTATTTGTTGACGTGCTTGTCGGAAAATATACTGCATATGTCTACACAAAGAGGCCGGAGATATGGACCGCAGGGGTGAACGGCGGTAGTCGTTGAAGCACCCTTGCATTTTACAAGAGAGTACAGGTCCCCATTGGGGTGAGGCAAATCTGGCATGGTGCCATGATCCGTGCTCATAAACAATGGAGTGATGTTCAACTCCGTGTTAGGGTTTCCGAAATTGGCCTGCACGACGGCGTTGTTAAATGCCGTGTCTCTATGATCCATGAGATTGCTGCCGTTGGCGTGCCATATAGCAACAAAATTATAATAAAATGCAAACATCTCTCCAAGTGTCTTCGGCGCAGCTGGCAAAAGAACATTCAGTAGGTTGCACAGATTACTGAGGTGAGAAGATGCGCCGCCACAGAATTCACCAATGACATCAAATATGAATTGCCCAGTATGTCTACGGGAGGCTGTAATACTAATATCACCGAAGCCCATGGGCGTTTGACACGGTTGGCCAGACGTCTTTGGACAATTAGTACATGAAAGACCAGAGCCGTTGGCTGTTACATTATGTGGCAGGAAACCAGGAAGACCATCCTCCAAAAACGATTGCAGTGGTGATTTAATGCCGCACTTGGGGTGTTGGTTACAGCTTTGGTTAGCTGTTTGGTTAGTGTTTTGGTTGGCTCTTTGGTTGCACTGTTGGTCACACGTTTGTTCAGCATACGTCAACGTATTACACTGCCAATTGGAACCGCCCACGCTGCTACCGTATGTGCAGTCACGCCAGCCACTGAGCTCGGTTTCATATGAACACATAGTATATAAAAAGTGTAGTTGGTGATGCAGCCGTTTGACGACATTCAACAATAAGCATATTAGTGTTGTCATGTTCGTGGGATAAAGTAAGTTAAGGTCATTGGTGCTGAACTGGCACGCGTATATACCGTCAGCGTGGCCTGTGCCGAGTATTGCAACTAATACATTTTCGGCATACGAGCATGTTGACTGCAGTGCTACAGTGAGATCACGTGGCCTAATGGTTGACGTGCCAACCAGTTTAAGTAGGCGAGTATCAATGTCCTTATACGCTCTCTCCTCCATGCCTTTCGGCTTGTCAAACAGCTCCTTCAAGTATTTGCAGAGTGAACGACGCACAGGATTATACCATAAACCGGTGACCCAGCAGAGCATTTGGAATATATTTGTCGGTGGTTTGGCACCTTCAATGTAACGCAGCTGGGAGGATTCATAGAAAGTATGAAGACAGTCTGAGAGCGTTTTCAGCAGGCTTTTATCGTTTTCTTTCCCATTCTTATGCTCATCTTCATCTTCAACGAGGTGGTATTTTTTGTCATCCTCGCCAGCAATGTCTGCCATGAGTTTACGATGAATATCCCGGCCGTCGAGGTCAGCATTATTTTTCAAGTCCCCTCTATGGGAACCATCGTCCTCAGAAACGCGATAGCCGCACTTCTCGAAAAATGCGCCGAGCTCGTTGCTTAAATTAATACATTTCTTCCGCCAATCACCATCATGATTACACTGCTTTCTAAGCTCAGTGAGGTCGTTTAAGCATGTTGGCAGACATGTTAGAAAAACCTTGGCGCACATTTTGGCTTCCTCAGTTGCTTCGCGTTTCTTGGATTTTGGATCCATGCGCTCCCAGCTAGTTATAGCCGGCGCACCGGAGTACGAATTTACATAAGCATAGCCTAGCTGAGTGGCTAGGCCTTTGAGTCCGGCCTTGAGTGCATCTAAAATTACGCTACACGGAGTGGAGAACTTTGAAGGCGCGAACTTAATAAGTGCGTTATTAAGATTACAAAGGTTTTCTCTGAATATATAGTCAAAGTGTTCGGAGCCATAAAGCCCAGCAAGCAGAGCCTCCAATGATTGTCTGGATGGTTCCACTTTTTTTCGTATTTTTCGAAAGTCCTCCTGAGTGCTGAGCTCTTCAATGAGTTGGTTAAAAGTGTAACGAAGCTTCGTCGCCCACTCTGCAACAGCTTTTTGCTCTGGTGTCCCTGCAAGTTTAGAAAGCTTTGGAGGTGGAATGAAGGATGCATCAAACTCGATAATTGGGATAATAAACCTCTCTTTAACGTTGGTCAAAAATCCTTTCAGACCGCCACTCTTGTCATTATTTATTATTGTTCTGATTTCATAAGATTGCTTAGTAATCAACGTTTTTAACGCTTCCAAGTCGGCCAGATGGCCTTCGGCGAACATCTGCAACACTTTTCTGTAAGCATCTTCAAAGGCTTCTCGCAGAGTCTGGATAAGTTCATCCCTCACATTGGTGATTGCTTGTTTCAACGCTTGTTCGGATCGTTGAACAGTTTCTCGCGCCTCTTGGATGGCGTTTTTCAGCTCCTCATTGAAAGTGTTTATGTCCTTATTAATCTTATTAACGTCCAGCAAAATTTGGGAAACACGACGCTTCAAATCTAGAACCTGTGTTCTTATTTCATCCTCTGCCTTTCCCTTTGCAGCGTCCACAGATGCTTTGACTTCCTTGATCTGTTTCTGAAGTTTTGTAATTTTCTGTTGAATCTCACCTGGACCACCGCCGGCATTATTGTTCAGCTTACCAATTTCCCCTTCTATGTTTGGCCCGACAGTCTTTAGTTCTGCGCTGAGGATGCCAGTCACTCTTTCATTTAAAGTGTCGACACCTTTTTGCGCGGCGGCCGTCAGTAGAGGGTTGAGTTTGGTGTCGAAGTCTACAGCGTTGACATTATCGGCAACCCTTTTTTCAATGCTGTCTTCAAGCTTGACCTGGTTATGGTCATAGTTGTAACCAGGGGTAGAGGTACTGGAAGGTAATCCAAGCGCCTTTTCAAGATTACCAAAGAGCGTCTGAATTTTCGGCGCCACCTCCAAAGCCTTGGTGATCCTGTTACCTGGTTCGTCGTTGCCACTGCCATTGGAAGTGCCAAGAATTTCTTTGATCGAGCCGACATTACCTATTGTCAACTCCAAGCTTCTGCCGAGATTGAAGAACTTATTCGTGTTGGACGTGAATCGTCCAAGCGTTTTAGCTACACGCCTGGCAATGGCGGAGAGGGCAGGGAGAATGGCTTCGACAGCCATCTCAAGGTCGTAGTAATTATAAAAATCGTCCCTTTTATTTTCTTGTATCACCTTAATCTCAATCGCCTGAACTGTTGTATCAACATTGATATGCTCCTCAAGTAACCTAGCAAACTCATTGCAAACTTTCTGGACACTCTGCATATTTGTAGTTATGTTGTCATTTTTGTCAACAGCTGGAAATGATTGAGAGGCCGTAACGGTGACCTGAGCATTAAGCTTGTCCACAATGGCTTGCCTGATTTTGTCGTTGAGCGATTTATAAATTCCAGTAGCGCTATCCTTTTTAAATTGCTCCTTAAAGTAATCTTTTCCGTCGTTGGCTGTAACATATGTATGAAGCTTCTTCTTTATCAGCTCATTATTATTCAATATACCGTCAATCCATTTGGTCACAACGTCACTCTCAAACTTCGCCGCAGTGAACAAATTCGCATACGACTTCATACCCTCCAGGATTTTGCCAACGTAACCAGATTTCGTAGATGTCCCGTCTTTATAGATCCCCTCGATTAGGCTTCCAATCTGCGTTTTCAACTTAGCCCAATTGTCGCACATGCCACTTTTATTGCTTGTGTCATTTTTTCCAATCGCATTCTTTATGGTCTCGACTTCCGTTTTAACAAGGCTGACATAGGTTCTCGCGTAGCTCTCAATTTTCTGTTTAATTACCTCCTTAAGTGACGAGATCTGTGCCGTTAATTGACTTTCAATGTCACCCAACTGACCCTTCACCGCGCCACTAACCGTACTATGAGCACTCCCAAGCTTCTCCAACTGCTGACTAAGCTGCTGCAACTGCGTATTTATATTTTGGTACACTTGACTCAGCCCATCTGAAATTGGAGTTGTGTCAAGTTTACCAACTTCGCTATTTATATTATTTAATTCTTTTACAATTTCCTTATTATAACTTGTTACAAAAGCGCCAGCATCTCTATCGGCAGTGGCAACAGCTGTCTCCAACTCACCAACCAAATCTATCAAACGCTTCAAATAGGCTTCCTGTTTGGCCTCAATGGCGTTGATTCTGCCATTAATTTCCTCAAATCTATCGCTTAGGTTAGTTTGTAACTTCTTTGCTTTCACTGCAATTTGCTGAGCAACCCGCTCTTCTTGCTGCTTAAAATCAGCACTGACAGCTTTCACCTTGGTGGCGAATTCGGCATTACCACTCACACCTTTCAGGTGGTCCACCACTTTACATATTGGCTTCATTTCATGCAATACACTACATTTTAATGCGCTATCTAATTCATTAGTGAGAGTTGTTTTAATGTGTGCTAGGTCGTCTTCGATGTTCTGCACGGTCTTGCTCCACCCCCTCAACTGGTCTTCCACTCTTGCACCCTCTTGGTTCTTCACCTCTTGAACATATTGACCTGCAGAAGATGATAATTTAGTAATTAACTTACCTAATTTGTCCTTCACTGCTCCAGTCCTCTCCCCCACCTGCTCACCATGTTTTTTCAACCACTCACTTACCTGAGTCACGGCGTTCACGAAGGCCTCACGGCCTTTACCTACACTATCATTTAATTTCTTAATAACATTGTTAATATCATTAATATCACTATATTTTGTAACACTCTCATCATCCCTCACAGTCTGAAGAACCCCGTGCAGAAACGCCATCACCCCGTCGCAGAGCCTGTCAAGGTCGGAGTACACAATTCCTTCTCCGGTGTAATTACCATTACTGTGGCCGAGAAATTTTTCGAGGCCTGCGCAGAGGTTTTTAAGAATTTCTGCACAATTTCCATCATTATTATTTTTTTTTGAAGCTTCATGAATTTTCTCAGCAAAATCACAAAGCTCTTTCAGTGTCTCAAGAGACCTCTTGGAAGCATTATGAGAGTCAAGAGATTTAGAATCTTTCTCAGGGAAAGCATCTTTTGCATCATTAAGGCTTTTTTCAGCTTCTTTAAGCTGCTTTTCAATTTGATCTTTATGATTTTTCTTAGCATCAATTTTCTTTTTAAGGTCATTCACTTGACGTTGAAGGCTATCAACTTTATTTTTCTTAGGTTCAAGTTCAGAAATTTTAATATTAACAGCTTCAATTACACTTGTAATTTGACCTTGAAGCTTGGAACTTTCTTTTAAAATGCTGTCTTTAAGACTCTCATTTTCCTGTTGAAGCTTCTTAACATCATCAGAATCACTGTCATGAGAATTATTATTTTCTTCAAGTTTCTGCGCAATTTTTGTTTGAAGAGCATCATATTTCTTGCAATTTTGTTGAAGATCTGAAAGAGATTTCTGAAGGTTATTAACATTGTAATTACAACACCCCCCATCACCGCAAGATGTTTTTAAAAACATAACAAGCTGATTTACATTACTGTGCAAACCATTCAAAATTGCATCTTTAACTTCCTCTCCACCGCCAATAAAACCTGAAAGCTGTCCGGCAAGCTGACCAAGAGAGATACGCCGCTCAGTAATATCCTTTTCAGCATTCTTTCTTTTAGACTCAGAGCCATGTACTTCGGAATAATGGCCATTGTATTTGGATTGAAGGTGGATTAGGGGAGGGTTAAAAGGAGTAAAGGGAGGTGAAATGGCACATTTTCAGGGCGATTTGGGGGAGTTTGGGGAAAGGCGATTTTAGGTCAAGGAGGCAGTGAGGGAGGAGGGTGGACAGGGTGAGGGAAGTGAAGGGGCGAAAGAGGGCGACGGAGGAGGAAGATGGGTGGAGGTAAGGCGATTACGGAGGTGGAGGGAGAATGTGGAAAATGAGGATTTGGGTGAAGGACGCCGACGGAGGAGGTGATGGAGGGGTGATGGAGGAGGGAGCGAAGCGACCAGTGAAGAGGGAGGTGAGTGGTTGAGTGAGTGGTTGAGTGAGTGGTTGAGTAGGTGGGTGAGTGGTTGGGTGGTTAGGTGGGTGAGTGGGTGAGTGGGTGGGTGGTTGAGTGAGTGGTTGAGTGGGTGGTTGAGTGGGTGGTTGAGTGGGTGGTTGAGTGGGTGATTAGGTGAGTGGTTGAGTGGGTGGGTGAGTGGTTGAGTGAGTGGGTGAGTATGTGAGTGAGTGGGTGATTAGGTGAGTGAGTGGGTGAGTGAGTGGGTGAGTGGTTGGGTGAGTATGTGAGTGAGTGGGTGATTAGGTGAGTGAGTGGGTGAGTGAGTGGGTGAGTGGTTGAGTGAGTGGGTGGTTGAGTGGTTGAGGTGGTGGTTGAGTGTGTGAGTGGGTGAGTGGTTGAGTGAGGTGAGTAGGTGGGTGGTGAGTGAGTGGGTGGTTGAGTGTGTGAGTGGGTGAGTGGTTGAGTGAGGTGAGTAGGTGGGTGGTGAGTGAGTGGGTGATTAGGTGAGTGGTTGGGTGGGTGAGTGAGTATGTGGGTGGGTGAGTGAGTGGGTGGTTGAGTGGTTGAGTGAGTATGTGGGTGGTTGAGTGGGTGGTTGAGTGGGTGGTTGAGTGAGTGGTTGAGTGAGTGGTTGAGTGAGTATGTGAGTGAGTGGTGAGTGATTAGGTGAGTGGGTGGGTGGTTGAGTGGGTGGTTGGGTGGGTGAATGAATGGGTGAGTGGGTGGGTGGGTGGTTGAGTGGTTGAGTGGGTGATTAGGTGAGTGGTTGAGTGGGTGGTTGAGTGGGTGAGTGGGTGAGTGGGTGAGTGGGTGGTTGAGTGGTTGAGTGGGTGATACACAGATCACACGTGAAGGCACGATTATGGTGAGAAGTACTTGACGTTGGCGAGTGCCTTGACGCGTGCGGCGGCGAGGAGGGACTGCGCGGCGATGCGGTGGCTTGAGGGTGATTTTAAGTGGGAGCGTATCCTCAGGACGTCGAGGCGGACGACGGCGATGTGCAGCAGGTACAGGAGCGACAGCGACCAGAGGGCTAGTAACGTTAGCATAAATGGCCATCTGATTTCTTTCAGGAATTCATCACAAGCTTCGAACAGCTTTGTGAAATATGTGGAGTGCAGCACATTATGTAATTGAGTACAGAAATCCTTACACTTCTTCGCTGTGTCACCACTATTCAACGTCGACGCCTCGCCGAATGTAAATCCATACTGGTAGAGCGTCGGTGCCACACCTCTGCAGGACACTATGGAATCACACTGACATGTTGGATTTGGTTTCTTGTCATCTTCAACAACACCATGTTTTCCTTTCCTACATTTATCACCTCTCAAGCATCCACGGCATCCCCAATCTGCACAAGTGATGTTGCAGAAAGCGTTATATAAATTGTTGAGTAGATCCCAGAATGTCCAAGGGAGGTAGATGGCCCATGATAGATAAAGGTTGGCATGCTTCTCTGCCATGTAGTAATAGGAGTCGCAAGAGAGTGATGCAACATATGGAGCGCACAATGCGTTTCCGACGGCATCATTACACGCTGGTGCCATCGCTAGACTAGACACGTCAGCATATGCGGGAAGATGGTCCTTCCCTCCATGGTTACTGTGTGTATTACGATACGCATTACGCAGTGCGTGTGTGAGTTTTGATGGTTCGTTATATAGATCAATGGACACACTTTTGGCGGCCTTTTCGGTAACTGTTTTGAGTCCGTTACCGCCACTATGCGACCAGCCTTTCACAAATGACAATGCAAATTGGAAGTGTTCCGGCAACGTTCTCGGCGGTTTGGGTGCAACGGAGAGTAGGGGTGAACCGACGCCTTTGTCGAAGTATTTACTTAGCACTTTACTTAGGTCTTTACCTGACCTTTTGCTTCCCGAGAAACCTCTGAATCCGAGAGGTGTCAAACACGGCTGCCCAGGCATAGATTTGGGGCACGTCGAACATATAGATTTGCAGTCAACACTGGTGAGTTGGTGAGGCAAATGGCCAGGAAGAGTGTCACGAAGGAAGGACATCAGCGGTGATCTGGGACGGCAGTCGACCAGAGTTTTAGAGTGCTTGTCGCACTGCCAATCGGAGGATTCAACGTCCCTGCCATATGGACACTGGTACCAACCGTACTCGGATGCCAGCTTATCACACCGGCTATGCAAGAATCTAAATACAGGGAACATTCTACGGAGGCATTCAAGCAACATGTTGAGACAATCCCCCGCCGATGAGGGGTAAGTGAATCCAAGGGCGTTAGTATGGTAGTCAACAGCGTACGTGGTGAACTCGTCGCCGAAACCGACGATGGTAGTCAGGATCACTGGAGCAAGGGACGTGACATGTACAATTGCATCGTGTATCTCACTCTGCGCGATCTTTTGTGGGTAGGCCGCTAACGATAAGCTGCTTGGCTCTTCAAGGGATATGCCATCGAACTCCATGCTGTCCGCCTCCTTTTTCTTCGGCTCATCAAACAGGTAACCGAAGTCATTTGTTGTCAAATCGAAGTATACGGGATGATGTAGCAGACTGGTACACCAGGCAAGCATCTCGTAAATGGAACACGGACGCTTCTTGGAGAAGGAAGTGGCTAGGTGACACACATCGTAATAAAGTTTAAGGTAGTCATAAAAGTTTTCAAAAGCATGTTTGATATTCTTATCGGTGTTATAAACATACGTATGATGATTGTTGACAAGTCTCTCATAAACATGCTCACCCTTCATATCATTCGTGTACTGCAGCTCGCCATTTTGGGAGTCACGGTTTGTGACCACACGGTAACCGCAATTTTGCAGGAACGTACCCAAACTGCTACCGGAATATATTGTGCGTGAAGCCCATTCAGACTCGCATTGTTTTTTCAACCAACCAAGGTCCTCACTCAGTATCTCCAGTATGGTCAGGCAGACCTTTGCGCAGTTGCGGCCCTCGGTGGAAAGGACTTTCTCAGGATTCTGAGAATCCTGAGTTTGAGCTGTAAGTTGTTGAGAGGGAAGCGCAGAAGGAATTTGGGCGACGGAGGCAAGTGATACGGTTGAAGGTTTTGAGGATAAGGAAGCTTGTGAAGCGGGGGCATTTGGAGCAACAGGATCTTTTGGCTTGTTGACTAACAAATCAGACTGGAATCTCATACCGCTATACTTATTCACGTATGCGTGTCCGAGTTGCTCGGTGAATTGCGTCATGCCGGACCTGAGGGCGTCGAGGAGCAGCGGGTTGTGGAAGCCGTGGAAGTTGGGAGATGTTAAGTTGGTAACTGCGGCAGTAAGTGAAGCGAGTAGATTGCCAGACTGATGGTCAAAGGTGTAAATGCGTTTGCCGGTAGGGTCATCGGGATGTGGCTTGTCGTCTTTAAGGTAGTTTAGCAAGGCGTCCAGTCTGACGCTGACATTCCACACCTTCTTAGACTCATCGCTGAGTTCTGGATCCTGTCCCGGCGCCTTGGCAGGCGTACGCACCTGCAACCTAATGTAATCGAGAATGGCGTCTAAATAATGCTTGGATTTTTCAGCGGCATATTTAAATTCACCAACGGGAATCCTGGAAATCTTATCATTATGCGTATTCAAAGCACTCAACAATCCTTTAATTCCACTTATTTTGTCATTAAATATAATACCATCAATCTCCCCTTTTTGCCCGTCGACAAGTGTTTTGAGCGCCGCCAGGTCGGCTTTGTGGCCCTGAGCGAAGAGAGCGCGGACTTCGGTGGTGAGGGTTTGGAAGGCTTGGGAGACGGATGTTAAGCATGCTTCTTGGGATGAATTTAGGGTGGATTGGAGGGATGTGATGGAGATATCTATAGCACCACTTGCCTTATGCACAAGCTCATAAATATAATTGAATTTGTTGTTGAGTTCAGTATACAGCGCACTCATTCTTTCCACCGCTTCCTTCCTCTTTGCGTCAACTTGCTGTGGAAGGGCTTCAAGTTCGTCGATAATAGTAGGACTTATTGCTTGTTTGGCTTGGTCGTACTTGTCCTTAGCACCCTGGCCATCGTCTGTCTTGTAATTGAACTGTGATTCAAACTTCGTAGGATCCACGGATACATCTCCATTAGGATCTGGTCTCTCAATGCCCTTACCAAATTCGCTCTTAATAGTCATAATCAAACCTCGGAACGTACCGATGCCTGTACCGTCCTCCTTCTTCGTCTCTTTATAATAATTTGACATGAAAGCAGTATCAAATTTTATAATACTTTTAGGATCCATGATAACCCCCTTTAGAACCTTGTCAATGGCCGCATACAGTGATTTGCGAACAGTGGCGAGGAGCTCGGCATAGACGGCTGTACCGGACGATACTTCTTCCAGTCTCCGAAGATTATACAAAACACCTTCTATTGTACCACCAACAGCATAGTTTCCCCTGAGTTTCTCCAACTCTCTTACTAACTGCGTAAACGGTTCCGCCGATCCGCCACTTCCAAACTGACTAATAAGGGTTTTAAGACCCTCATCTCCCCTACCGCTGCCCTTCGCTAATTTCGCCGCCTCCTTAATCTTCGTTCCCAAACTGCCAGCAAACGCCTCCAACTTCAACTTAATGCTATTTCTCAAGCCTTCCAAATCAGTTCTTATATGGTCATCCAATTTGTCAAGACTATGCTGCATATCCTTCTCCAATGCCTGGTCAACTGCTGCATCAACTTTCTTCTTCACATCTGCGAATTTATCCTTATACGCCTTCTCAATCCCATCAACCGCTTCGGTTACCGCAGTGAATTTCTTCTTTAGTTCTGATTCTTTTCCAGCGGGATCGGGATGATGAGGATTTATATTGTTCATCCTACCATGCAACTGAGTAAACAACCTTTCAATCTCAGTCTTATAATCCTGATTATATCTATCCAAAAAATCCCTAGCATCTTTCAAGCGATCATTGAGATGCCCAATTTGTTTATTTTTTGTACCTCCCAACTTCCTAACACTCTCATCGATTTTACTAAACTTTTCTTTAATGTCTCTCTTGATTTCATTTTTTGTCCTCTCCAACGTTTTATCTACAGTTTGCACTTGCTTTTCAAGCCCATCCTCCCCAGCCGCCCCAAGCAGCATCCCAACCGCCTTTTTAACCACCTTCATCTCACCCATTACTCTCTCCTTTAACGCCTTATCAAGCTCACTAACTTTATCTTCTTCAATATTCTTAACCTCTCGTGAAATGTCTGACACCGTAGACTCCCATGACGCCAACTGATCTTTAAGGCTATCGACCTTTTTAGAGTCTACAACGTTGGAATATCCTTTCGACAAATTATCACTCAGTGCATTTATTCCGTTTGTTACTGCTTCGCATTTCTTGTTCACCTCACTCTCATACCTCCCAAGCCACCCACTCACCGCAGTAACCTGCGGACCAAATGCGCCAGACCCCTTACCTATGGAAGCTTTAAGATTCTTAAGAAGTTGATCTAATCTTTGATTCTCCGGATTAATATAACCATCATACTTTTTAACACTCACATCATCCTTAACACTCTCCAGCACCCCGTGCAAAAACGCCATCACCCCGTCGCAGAGCCTGTCAAGGTCCGAGTACACGATTCCTTCTCCGGTGTAATTACCATTACTGTGGCCGAGAAATTTTTCGAGGCCTTCAGTAAGATTCTCTAAAATGTTTTTTGGAGTGTTTTCTTTATTAGTTTTAATATCATCACAATGTTGACAAAGCTTTTCAAGACTGTTGAGAGACTTCATAGACGTCTGATGAGAGTCAAGAGATTTAGAATCATTTTCAGGGAAAGCATTTTTTGCGTTTTTAAGCTCTTCTTCAGCCTTTTTAAGCTCTTCATTATAATCTTTTTGCTGCTTTATAGGATTTTTATTCCCCTCCTCAATTTGCTTTTTAAGGCCATTCACTTGAGATTGAAGGTCATCAACTTTCTTTTTCTTAACTTCAAGTTCATCAATTTTCTTTTCAACAGCGGAAATTACACTTGTAATTTGCGTTGTAAGCTTGGAACTTTGTGAGAAAATTTGTGATTTATGCTGCCTAATTTTCTCATTAAGCTCCGCAATCTCACGATCACCGCCGGACGGCGCCCCTACGGGCGCCTTCCTTTTTTCATCTTTTTGCTTATTAAGGCCATCAATTTTTGTTGCAATTTCATCAACTTCATTAAATTGATTTTGAAGTTTATCAAGATGTTCATCACGGAATTTCTTACCATCACAATTACACTTCCCATCTCCACAAGATGTTTTCAAAAGCTTTTCAAGCTGATTTACATTACTGTGCAAACCATTTACAAGTGCATTTTGAACTTCCTCACTCCCACCAATAAATCCCGAGAGCTGTCCAGCAAGCTGACCAAGAGAGATACGACGTTCAGCAAGATCCTTCTTGGCTGTATCCCTTTTAGACTCAGAGCCATGTACTTCGGAGTAATGGCCATTATACTGGGATTGAGGGTGGGTTAAGGGAGGGTTAAAAGAAGTGAAAAGGGATGAAATGGCACATTTTCAGGGCGATTTGGGGGAGTTTGGGAAAAGGTCAAATTAGGTCAAGGAGGCAGTGAGGGAGGTGGGCAGACAGGGTGAGGGAGGTGAAGGGGCGAAAGAGGACGACGGAGGAAGAAGATGGGATGAGAGAGGCGATAAAGGAGGTGAAGGGGAAAGGTGGAAAATGAGGGTTTTGGTGAAGGACGCCGACGGAGGAGGTGAGGGAGGGGGTGAGGGAGGAGGGAGCGGAGCGACCAGTGAAAGAGGAGGTAAGTGAGTATGTGAGTGAGTGGGTGGTTGAGTGGTTGAGTGGTTGAGTGAGTGGGTGGTTGAGTAGGTGAGTATGTGGTTGAGTGGGTGACTAGGTGAGTGGGTGAGTAGGTGAGTATGTGGTTGAGTGAGTGAGTGGTTGAGTAGGTGAGTATGTGGTTGAGTGAGTGAGTGGGTGAGTGGGTGAGTGGGTGAGTGGTTGAGTGGTTGGGTGAGTGGTTGAGTGGGTGGGTGGTTGAGTGGGTGGTTGAGTGAGTGAGTGATTAGGTGGGTGAGTGGGTGGGTGATTAGGTGAGTGGTTGAGTGAGTGGTTGAGTGAGTGGGTGGTTGAGTGGTTGAGTGATACACAGATCACACGTGAAGGCACGATTATGGTGAGAAGTACTTGACGTTGGCGAGTGCCTTGACGCGTGCGGCGGCGAGGAGGGACTGCGCGGCGATGCGGTGGCTTGAGGGTGATCGCAGGTGGGAGCGTATCCTCAGGACGTCGAGGCGGACGACGGTGATGTGCAGCAGGTACAGGAGCGAGAGCGACCAGAGGGCTAACAAAGTGATGGAGAATGGGAGACGTATTGCCCAGATGAAATTATCGATCTCATCAAATAATTCTTTGAAATATCCTTGATGGAGCACTTTACTTAGCTGCTTGACGAAATCATCACATGTCTTTTTGGCCAGATCTTTGGGCACGTGGAATGTGAATCCGTATTTGTAGAATGTGGATGAAACGCCTTGGCAATTTACAATGGAACTGCAATGACAGCCTGCTTTTGTAGAATGTTTGTCTGTAACACCGTGCTCACCTGATCTGCAATTACAGCCGCATCCGTATGCCTTGCACGAAATACTTTTAAACGACTCGAGTAGGTCATGCAGCAATTTCCAGAAATCCCATGTCAGGTAGGAAACCCAAGAGAGATACATTCTGGCGTGTTTCGGGGCGTATGTATGATGTGCGTGGGTGGACATCGATTGAAGGTACGGTGCACAACTACTGGCTGAGCTGCACGAAGACTTCGTAGTGAGACTCCAGAGGTCACAGTGCTTTTGGTCCGATAGTTCAGTTGGATGATCAGGAGTGGAGAAATATAAATCACTGAGCTTATCGGTGAGATGAGTAGCTTGGTAATTGTCATGGTACCATCTATGAAATGGGAAACACTGATTTATGGCACTGTCAACAGTATACTTGTAATCAGCATTTTGAACATATGATTTGTATCCCCATTTCTGGAACAGATTACAGAAAAGGGGGAACATGTCACTCAAACGTCTTGGGGGAGAAGGTGTCAGCGTCTCCAGACACCTCGACAGCGTGGCCAAAGGTGAGTCGGCATTACCGCAAAGTTTAGAAAGCACATCGCAAATGTCGCTACCTGTTAGTGTGATGGAAGCAGCGTGAGTCAGGTCCCAGAAACCCATTGGTGTTATGCACTGTTGGCCAGGTGTTCCTTTCGGGCAAGTCAAACATTTAGATGAACAACCGACCGATGTCAATTTATGTGGCAGGCAACCGAGTAAACTGTCTGTTAGGTGAGCTTGCAGGGGCGATTTTGGTTGGCTATTTGCTTGTGACGTTGGTTGGCCATTTGGTTGCTCATTTGCTTTGCCCCTTGGATGGTCCTTACATTGCCAGTTTGCCGACGGGACTCCCTGACCATGTAAGCACTCCGCCCATCCGTTTGCCACCGACGCCGTGGATTGACACTGGCAGTACAAGAAGTATAATGCGCGTAGTAGACGCGAGCATATTTCGTTTATAACATCTAGTAAACCGCGAACGTCGCCCGGATAATGGAAGTTACGTGAGTTGTCATGGAAATTACACGCGTATGGATAGTCCGCTTTGTCGAATCCACGGCCGTGGCCCTGAATCGTGACAAGGACGGTGCGTGATTTTTTACAGACTGATGATAGGTTGTGAACCAAATCGTTATCGAGTATTTTCTTAATTACGGTATCGGGTTCATTGCCGTTTTTAGCTGCATTGTCGGTCTCCTCTTTAAGCTGCTTGGTGCAGTGGTCAAAAACACTGTTATACACAGCAGTGTACGGCAAGCCGCACATCCAGGATAACATATCTCTGATGGAACATGGATATGTAGTTTTGGATGGAAGCGTTAGGTGGCAAAGCGCGTAGTAACGTTGAATGTGTTGGTAAAGCACATACACGGGACTGTAGTCTCCACCAGTCTTGGCATCCTCATCATCTGGGTCTGGGCGTCTGAAAACTCCATCATGTCCGACAATAAGGTCATAAATATGCTGGCCATTGCAGTCACTCTTATTCCGCAATTCGCCGTCTTGCTTTTCCTCGGAGATTCGGTAACCACATCGCTTTAGGAATATACCTAGACGAGTTAGTGGATTGGCAGTAAAATGTGCCCAGCTGTTATTGCAATTTCTACTCAAATTGTTCATGTCACGATTAAATGTATGCATTATCGTGAGCAACACCTGTGCAGCCTTTCGGCCATAATCGGTTAATGTATATATCTCCTTGACGTCTTCCCCGGGGTTAACAAGATCTTTACGATCCTCCAGATTTTCGGTAAACGTCTCCCCCGAGTACCTGCTGACGTACTGCTTTTGGAGCTCTGTGGCGAATTTCTCGAGGCCCTGCTTCAGGGGCTGCAGCACTTTTTTGGGGGCGTCGGGGAACGTGTCGGCGTGGAATGCTTGGAGCGCGGACTCGAAGGCCTGGCGCGCCTGGGAGACGGAGTGGTGGAAGTGCTGGTGGTGGAGCAGTTTGTCGAAGATGGCATCCAGGGAGGCGTGGAGTGTCTTGATTTGGGGAGCTTCGCCGGTGATGTCGGATTGGAGTTGGAGGTGATGGCATAAATCTTCGAAGAATTTTTTGATTTCGACGGCGAAGGGGCGCATTGTTTTATGGTCAGATGTTATGGATTGCAGTGAAATTTTCACGAGACGTAAGAGACCTTTTGGGCCGGTGATTCTGTCGCGGGAGATGATGGATTTTATTTCGGTTAGTTGGGCGGAAACGAGGGATTTGAGGGCGCTTAGGTCTGCTCGATGGCCGTTGGCAAATAGCACGCGTACGTCATTGGTTACGTTTTCGAAGGCCTTTCTGACCTCGTCGAGGAGAGTTTCTTTGAGGGTTTTGATCGTCTGTTCGGATAGGTGCTTGGCTCTTAGAACAGTGTTTTCCATGCTAACTATGATGTTTATGAAAGCTTCGTCTGCTTCGTTGACGACATCGTCGATGTTTTTGAAGAGACCGTCGATTTCTACCTTTAACTCATCCATGAGCTGTATAACTGCTTCCTTCTTTTTTCCAACATCTTCGGGAACATTTTCAAGCTGTGTGACTACATCAAGCACGCCTTGGATGAAGTTCTGGATCTTGCCGGCTTTTTTGTCAGTGAACTCATTGGTATGCAGCTTGCTGAGCTTGTTACAAACTGCTTTAATGCATTGTTCGTGTGACGTTTTATGCCCAAGTTTCTCTTCCAATGCCTCCAGCTTGTCCAGGGCGCCTTTATCGTCTTGGCTGCTGGAGGATGTATTCTTCAATTGTTTTTGAAGCTCTCCCAGCTTAGACGTAATGTTGGAGACGGCTTGGTGGATGGCACCAGGATGGGAGGATAACGTAGTTTGTTGAGCGTGGAGGTCCTTATTAATTTTTTGAAGCCCTTTGCTATCCGTACCCTTGGAAATTTCATCGGATCTAAAATCCCCCAAAACTTTTTTGAGGCCAGTAGGTGGCCCCGTTTCATGTCGAACAGCATTGACAAGGGCATTGAAATTTCTCGTAATATTTTGTTCTAGGTTATCGAACAAGGATTTCTCAGTGTTGAAGTGGCTCTCGAAGTTCATTAAATCACGGGGGAGTGCTGATAGTGATTGAACACTCTCTTTAATATTCAATCTACGGTCAACAGTCCACGCAGACTGAATCATTGACTGAATGTCCGTATTCAACGGTTGAAGTTGGTCAGCAAACTGTGATGCACTTTGCAACGCAGCAATAAGTTGACTAGTCAAGCCATCTATATTTGAGCCACTGTTAATAGTACTAGCGTTTTGCTCACCAGTTTTAATTTGTATATTCAAAAACGAGATGGTATCATTGACGACTTTTGTAATGGTAGAGGCAAATTCGGAGAGAGATAAAAGGTGCAGGGTAGCAGTATGCGCGTCGGATGGAGGCTGAGGTGGGCGCCCTCTACGAATGCTCTGTAATTGTGGATGCAACTGAAAGCTTTGCAAAGCGTTAATTAGTCTACCTGGAAGCATCGTCGCATACAATTGGGCACCTCTACTACTACCCTGCGATGCCTGTTTCGCAGCATTTTGAACCGCACTGGATATGGTTTCCAACCGCCCAATCTGCTCTGATACCTTAGCACTAATATGTGGATCGACGCGCTGAGTACCATTCTTGACCCATGTCTCATATGCACTTTTCGCAGCCTTGAAGGTTTCTTCCACCAAGCATTCAACTATATTGGCCAGATTCGCAAGATGATGGGTGGCCTGATGGGCATAGCCCTGAAGCTGAGATTTCTTAAGGGCAAGAAAATGCTTTCCAGTTTGACTTTTTAAATCAGCAACTGCTTGAGTAATCATAGATTGTTTTGTGTCATTTACTTCTTTAATAATTTCATCAACCTTCAATAAGGCACTATGGAAAACATGGTCGGCCTGATTAAGCCACTGGTTCAAGGCAACGTCGATTCCTGTGAGTTGAGAATGCACACCGCCAATGGCTGACTGATCTCCGTCAATCTCACCAAGCTTTCCAGCAATTGAATCAGAAATACTCCTCTCCTTCATCAGTTCATTGTAAACCTCTTCCGCTTTACTAAACGCCGCGTCACGCAATTGGTCAGCTTGCTGAATCCTTTCCTGCAAACTGTCAACATGCCTCTTCAACTCTTGACCAACTTCCAAAAGCACCGACTTAATTAGCTCAGTTTCCTGTTTCAGTTTTGATGTGCCTGCTTTGCGAGAAGGATTGTCGTTTTTATTAACTTCCAAAAGACTTTTCTTAATTTCATCAAAATGTGTTAGTATTTTATTTTTGAAAATTCCACTCGTTTTTCCAAGTTGGCCATCTATCCCTCCTTTAGTCAGCGAAATTGCTCCCCTGATCGCCTTAATACTATCTCCCCTTTTCTCTCTCAGAATAAGAATTTCTGCAAGTATTTCTCGAAATCGTTCTGCCATCGTTCTTTGTAATTTCTCAACACCATGATTAATAGCATACACGACATTTTTCTTCTGCTGCTCAAGCAGTTCATCTACATTTTTAGCCTGCCCTTTAAGGTCAAGGTTGTTAGCCGCCCCAAGCAGCACCTCAACCGACTTCTGAATCGGCTCTACTTTGTGCATTATGCGTGTGCTAAGTGCAGTGTCTAGCAACATTATCTTATCAATGTTAATGCTATGAATATCTTTTGCTATGTAGCCGAGCGTAGTTGTCCATTGGAACAGCTGCGCTTCAAGGCTCTGATCTTGCTGCCTAGTAACCTCTTGAACATATTTACCTGCACCAGATGATAACTTATTACTTAACTCACCTAATTTAGTCTTCACGTCGCTTGTCTTGTCATTTACCTGAAAGTAATATTTCTTAAGCCACTCACTTACCTTTTCAACCCGATCACCAAATTCACTGCGTCCCTGGCCAATTGAAGATTGGAGAGAGTCAAGTAATTTTTGAAGCTTATCATTCTCTACAGTAATGTAACCATCATACGTTGTAACGTTTTCATCATCTTTTACACTCTCAAGAACTCCATGCAAAAACGCCATCACCCCGTCGCACAGCCTGTCAAGGTCCGAGTACACGATGCCAGTGCCGGTGTAACTACCATTATCGTAGCCGAGAAAATTTTCGAGGCCTGTGCAGAGGTTATTTAATAATGATGTTGAAGGATTATTTTAGGCACATTTTCAGGGCGATTTGGGGGATTTTGGGGAAAGGCGATTTTAGGTGAAGGAGGCAGTGAGGCAGTGAGGGAGGTGGGTGGACAAGGCGAGGGAGGTGAAGGGGCGAAAGAGGGCGATGAGGGGGGAAGATGGGTGGAGGTAAGGCGGTTTAAGGGGGGGAGGGAAAATGTGGAAAACGAGGATTTCGGTGAAGGACGCCGACGGAGGAGGTGAGGGAAGGGGTGATGGAGGAGGGAGCGAAGCGACCGGTGGAAGAGGAGGTGAGTGGTTGAGTGAGTGGGTGAGTGGTTGAGTGGGTGAGTGATACACAGATCACACATGAAGGCACGATTACGGTGAGAAGTACTTGACGTTGGCGAGTGCCTTGACGCGCGCCGCTGCGAGGAGGGACTGCGCGGCGATGCGGTGGCTTGAGGGTGATCTCAGGTGGGAGCGTATCCTCAGGACGTCGAGGCGGACGACGGCGATGTGCAGCAGGTACAGGAGCGACAGCGACCAGAGGGCTAACAATAATGACATGAATGGGAGGCGGATGCAGTAGTTGAATTCATCGATTTCTCTAAATAATTCTCTAAAGTAGTGTGAATGCAACACTTTGCTCAGCTGTTTGACAAAATGATCACACGTCTTTTTGCTTAAATGTTCCATTAACTCGCCAGGTACGCGGAAGGTAAATCCATACTTGTAAAATGTAGACATAACTCCTCGGCACTGGACGATGGATGGGCAGTGACAACCTGGTCTGGGTGGTTTGGACAGATCCGTGTCACAAACACCATGCTTACCGGGAGCACAATTACAGGATGTGCATCCATGGTTTTTGCAGGACACATTTTTAAACGAGTCGAGTAATTCATTGAGAAGACTCCACAAATCCCAGGTCAAATATGAGATCCAAGAGAGATAAATTCCGGCGTGTTTGGGGGCGAATGTATGGTGGGAATGGAGAGACGTCGATTGAAGGTAAGGAGCGCAATATGTTCCGTTGCCACTGCATCGTTTGGCAATATCGACAGTACGTTTCGTTGACAAACTTTGAAGACCGCAGTGATTTTTGTCGTTTTTGTGACCTTTGTGGTCTCCATCGGAGCAATACAAATCTCTGAGTTTCGACGTTAAATTATCAGCACTGTAATAGTTGTGCACCGATGGGTCGAATGGGAAACATTTCTCAATGGCGCCGTCAATCGTCCCCTTGTATGCGTCGTCATGGGCATATGATTTCCCCGTCGATTGCCACTGTTGCATAACATTACAATATAATGAGAACATATCAGCGAGACCTCTAGGCGCAACGGGGCAAAGAGCGGTTAAACAACGCAGCAATGCACAAAGAGGTGAATCGGCATTTTTGCATAGAAAACCAAGTGCATTGAAAATGTCCTTGCCGACACCTTTCCTGGACGCCGACTCGGTCAAGTCCCAGAAGCCCATTGGGGTGAGACACTGCTGACCCGGTTGGTTGCCCTTGCAACTAGAACACGAAAGTGACGTTACGTTGGACTTTAACTTGTGCGGCAAAAAGCCCGCTAGGTTGTCCATTAGGTGAGACTGAAGTGATGATTTTGGTTGGCAATTTGATTTCGAATTTGGGTGCTTATCGCAATCCCACTCAAAGCTGTAGATACCTTTGCCGTAAGCGCAGTCACGCCATCCATGTACGTGGGATGGTGTACGGCATCTGCTATATGTGAAATACAGTGCACATAGTAGACGTTGACACACTTCTCTTAGCATACCAAGCAAACTGGAAACATCATTCGGATAATGGAAACCACGAGAATTATTAGAGTACTCGCAGGCATACGGGTAGTCGGCCTGGTCGAAACCACGGCCATTACCGGAGATTGTAACAAGGACATCGTGTGCCCTTTGTGTTGTGGAGTTTATGTAGCTGGATAAGTTACGCTCAAGCATGGGTAAGATGACACTGTCCTTCTTATACGACTCATCTTTATCAAGCAATGATTTACAATAACCATTAATTTTACTGTACACACTAGTGTGAGGTAGGCCCGTCATCCACGCCAACATGTCTCTAACTGAAGACGGATATTTGGCTGGGGTCGAAATACGTAAGTGACAAACTTTGTTGTACTGTTGAAAACAAAGCAAAAGTTTATAAGGAATGTCTTCACATGGTGTTTCTTTTGTTTTGTAAACGTGCTTGTCACCGCCTATAAGGGCCCATTTAATTTCCTTTATGCCTTTTCTCCTGTCCAAGTAACCATTCTGCGTCTTGTCATCTTCCGGCACCGTGAAGCCACGGTCCTGGAACCATTTACCAAGATTGTTGCTTGAAATTATTTTCATCTGTGAGCTGGCATTCATTATGCAATCCGCTCTTAAGCGACCGATATCATGTTCCAGAGCCTCAATTATAGTCAACACTATTCTCGCGCACTTATCTCCGTTTTTGCTGTTCCAGCAGTCTCCGGAGTACGCTGAGACGTACGCCTTCTCCAGCTGCTTGACGAATGGCAAAAATCCCATATGCAACGCATCCAGCAGCAACGGACTTTTGGCGTCGCCGAATTTTGTAGGCTGGAAAGCGGCGATTTTCTTTTCAAGTTCCTCCAGGTTGTCACTGAATTTGTTGTCGAAATGCTCGGAGGTTGCGAGACCATCAAGTAATTTGGCCAAGGATTCCTTGGAGTCCGCAACTTTCTTGAAGTCATCAGTGAAATCCTCTTGTTCTTGCAAATTTTGGAAAAAATCGTTAAAACCGGCATTCAAAATCTTTGTTGCCTGGCTCAGCGGCGAATATTGCGGAGGATCGATGAGCGAAATGTGAGAATTAATTTTTGTAATTTCCTCCAGTCTCGGAGTATAATTATCTTTTAATTTACTTAGCATTCCCTTGACACCGCTGATTTTGTCCTTCTCGATTATTCCTGTAATGACAACTTGTTGGTTGGTGGCCAATTTGTGTAACGCTGTTAAGTTAGCTTTGTGCTGCTCACAGAACATGGATTGAACTGCTTCTTTGACGGCTGTGAAGGCTGCTTCGGCGATTTGGGTGAGCTCACGTTGCACTCTGGATATTTTATCTCGCAGGTGACCACGCGCCTGTTCAACGGTGGATTGTGCTGCTTTGATGGCTTCCTGGAGAGCCTTATTGAATGCCTTTATAGCTGTAGCAATTTCAATAGCTCTCTGGTTTACCTCATTAACTTGATCTTTCAAAGACGTCACCTGGCCTTTTATAGTGTTCCTGGCCATATCGTTAACACCACGAACGATGGGTATCAGCTTAGTAATCTTTTGCTGAAGCTGATCGATGAGCGTCTGAATATAGCCTGACTTCGAGTTATCGGGATCCTTCCTCAGCCTATCTATGTGGTTTCCTATCGTATGCTCAATGCTACGAAGGTCAGTTTCAACGACCTTATTCACCTTGACATATAACATGCTTATACCATTTTTAACTGCATCTTTTAATAGTTCGTCGAGTTGGGGTTGTACTTGTATGGCATAGTCCCCGAGATCGCTATTGATTTGGATGCCAAGATTGCCAAGTTGACCGAGTTGGCCGGAGCGATCGCCGGTAGGAATTTTGCAGACTGTGTCCTTGAGTTGCTGGCCAAGCCCCTTAATCGCGGTAACCGCCGCATCTACGTTGCTTTCTATTTTACAATTTACCGCAAAGGACTCAATTTCTGATGCCGTTTGCCGGGCTATAAGAGGTAGTTGTAGAAGTGTGGCTTGAATGGCATTTGTGAGATAGGATTGATACGGGGTATAGGTAGGATCTGATTTGACTGACGGATCAGCTTTCAAAACTTCTTCCTCAACGCTTGTAAGTATATTTCCGGCGTGCTCTATTGCCTCCATTGCCTCAGCAACGCTAGTAAATAACCCGCTGATCTCTTTTAAAACATCTTGCACCGTTGTGCCCCTGCCTGCTGGTGTGCTCAGCGAACGGCCCCTCAGTGCTCCCATAATCTTATCCTTAATAGCTGTTTTCACTGCGTCCTCATCTTTCATACCATTATATGTCGGTTTAAAACGATGTGGCAGCTTCAGCTTGTTATACTGAACATAGTACGTAATATGCATGTTCACTCCCGCCTCCTCCACTATTTTATCAAGCCACCCCTGCACTGTCTGCTCAATCCTCTGTCCAACCACCCCAGCATAATTTTGTACGTCTTTTAAAATTCTGTCTAGGTGTCCTGGGTGTTCACTTGCCGTTGTTTTATGCGCAATGTCATTAGTCTTCGCTTCGATCGCAATCATAATTCTCTCTCCCAACTGACTCTTAATGTACGCCAATATTTGTTCTCTAATTCCCTCCTTAAGCTGCTGAATCTGAGGATTCAACTGGGCAGTAATTTGAATTAAACCAGCGTTCACCGTCGGCTTAACACTCGCAGCCAGACCAACCAGCTCCGCCAGCTTACGCCCAAGCACCTCCAACTGTGCACTAACCGTTTTGAAAACCTCTTGGAGACCACCTGAAACAGTGTCCGTTCCAAGTACCTTGACTGTATCATTAATGTCATTCACTTTAACAGCAATTTCAGCTTTATAATCTTGTTCCAACCTTTTCGCCTCCGTGTCAGCTTGAAGTAGACCCTTTTCCAACTGCTGAACTGACGCCAACAAAGCCTGCAACGTACTGCTATGCTGAAGTTCAATGACATCTATTTTGTCATCTATTTCAGTTAGCTTGGTCCGCACAGTATTCTGAAGCTCATCGGATTTTTGTTCAATCGCCCGCTCCACCTTTCGTTTCTGCGCCCCAAACTCATCATCTACTGTGCCCACTTGACCCTGATAAGCAGGATCCGACGCAGATGTTTTCAGCAGTTCGACTGCCGTGCTAAGTGGTTTTATTTCGTGCATTAAATTAGTCTTAAGTGCGTCATCTAATTCGCTAGCGTGGCTACTAGTGGCGCTAATGTCTCTCTCAATCTTCTCCAGGGTCCCGGTCCATGCGCTGAGCTGCTCCCTAAGTGGCCTTGTGTTTGTACCTGAGACGGCTTGAAAATAATTCTCATTCACACCTGCAACAACATGAGACCCATTATTTAACTTACCTATAAGTGCAGATAATCCATCGGTCACTGCTCCAGTCTTCCTGCCAACTTCCTCATTATATTTCCCCAACCACTCCTTCACCTTGGTGACAGACGCCGAAAGGCCAACACGCCCGGTGCCAATTGAAGAAGTTAAAGTGGAGAGAACATTATCAAGTCTACTACCAGAATCAAGCATATTATTGTACGTTGTAACGTTATCATCCCTCACACTCTCAAGAACTCCATGAAGGAAAGACATCACCCCGTCGCAGAGCCTGTCAAGGTCTGAGTACACGATGCCGGAGCCTGTGTAATTCCCTTTACTAAGGCCGAGAAATTTTTCGAGGCCTGTACAAAGACTCTCTAAAATATCTTTACATTTTCCATCTTTATTTTGTGGTTGATTAATATCATTACAATGTTGACAAAGCTTTTCAAGATTTTTAAGAGACTCCAACGAAGCCTTATGAGACTGAAGATCCTTATTAATCTTGTCAATTTGAGAGGCATTTTGAGGAGATTGATTGGTAATTGTAAGAATTAAAAAGAAGGTGAAATGGCACATTTTTAGGGCGATTTGGGGGAGTTTGGGGAAAGGCGATTTTAGGTCAAGGAGGCAGCGAGGGAGGTGGGTGGACAGGGTGAGGGAGGTGAAGGGGCGAAAGAGGGCGATGAAGGGGGAAGATGGGTGGAGGTAGGGCGATTTTAGGGGTAAAGGGAGAAAGTGGAAAATGAGGATCTGGGTGAGGGACGCCGACGGAGGAGGTGAGTGGAGGGAGGAGGGAGGGAGCGAAGCGACCAGTGAAGGAGGGAGGTGAGTGGTTGAGTGGGTGGTTGAGTGGGTGGTTGAGTGGGTGAGTGGGTGGGTGAGTGGGTGAGTATGTGGTTGAGTGGTTGAGTGGGTGAGTGAATGAGTGAGTGGTTGAGTGGGTGAGTGGTTGAGTGGGTGGGTGAGTGGGTGGGTGGGTGGTTGAGTGAGTGAGTGGGTGGGTGGGTGGTTGAGTGGGTGAGTATGTGAGTGGGTGGGTGAGTGGTTGAGTGGGTGAGTGGGTGGTTGAGTGGTTGAGTGGGTGAGTGTGTGAGTGGGTGGTTGAGTGAGTGGGTGAGTGAGTGGGTGGGTGAGTGATACACAGATCACACGTGAAGGCACGATTATGGTGAGAAGTACTTGACGTTGGCGAGTGCCTTGACGCGTGCGGCGGCGAGGAGGGACTGCGCGGCGATGCGGTGGCTTGAGGGTGATCTCAGGTGGGAGCGTATCCGCAGGACGTCCAGGCGGACGACGGCGATGTGCAGCAGGTAGAGCAGAGAGAGGGACCAGAGGGCTAATAAGGTGAGGGAGAATTCTTCTCTTATAGCCCATATATATTTATCGATGTCTTCGATGAGTTTTACAAGTGCACATCCTTCGCCGATTACTTTCTTCAGCACGTTGCAGAAATCATTGCACGTACGTTTAGTTGTATCACCAGCCAGCTTTGCCACGTTCGCATGTACAAACCCAAATTTGTACATAATTGGACGGGTATGCGAGCACTTTGCAATTGAATTGCAGGACGCATCGTGAGGCGAGGTAGCCGATTTCTCGGTAACAGTACATTTGGGGCGGCATTTAGCAATGCGGCATTTTGGATTTTCACCTCCGCACTTACTACTGCACTCTTCATATAACTGATGCAGTAAATTATAAAACGTTTCCGTGCTATACACAATCCACGATAGATATTTGCCACCATGTTCTTTAGAATACATACTGCTAATATCAGTATTTAGAGCATGTAGATAGGGACCACATTTACCCCTTGTAGCTGAAGAGCAAACGAGACTGACGAGATCGGCGTTGGCCTGCTTATGAGGGTGACTACCGCCGAATATAGAATGGGCATTCAAGCCTTCGTAAGGACGTTTGAAATTGGCCTTACTAATAGCCTCTTCAAATGCGCCCTTCCTATGTGGTGTGTTCCTATTCCAGTCACTAAGGAAATTGTGGTAGAAACTAAACATATCGCCTAGTGTCTTTGGAGCGGTAGGCAAGAGACAATTCAGTTGACCGCAGAGCTTAGTTAGGGGAGCATGATCAATGCCACAAAACTTCTCAAGCACCTTTTGGAGGTACGTACCCTCCTTTGTATGTGACGCCTTAATACTAATATCAGTAAATCCCATAGGTGTTAGGCATGGTTTACCAAAGTGATTGCCAACTGAGCATTTCACTCCGCAGCCAACATTGGAAAATGTATGAGGCAGGAAGCCGGGGAGGCTATCCTCAAGGTACGACTGAAGCGGCGATTTTACACCGCACTTTGGGTGTTGGTTGCACTTTTGGTTAGTACTTTGGTCAGCGTTTTGGTTAGGCCTTAGGTTACACTGTTGGTTAGGGCATAGGTTGTCATTGCATTGCCATCCAGAGTTGCCGACACCCTGACCGTACGAGCAGTTTGACCAACCGCTGTAATCGGTATTGTGTGAACACTGTGTAAGCAGGAAATAAAGTTGGTAGAATAGTCTATTCATTATATCTACCATCATACCTAAGCAGGCATTGGCACTGCTAGGATATGCTAGGTTAAGAGTGTTGTTGGAATGATCACAGGCGTAGACACCGTCGGCGTAACCGTATCCAAGGACACCGGTCAACACGTCATAGGATTGTGCGCAGACATCATTGAGAGACGTTGCTAAACTACTGTATGTTATTGGTTGCGGGTATGCGTCAAATGATTCTTCGCCGAGATCTGTCACGACGATCTCATCGTCGTCTGCGGGCTTCTTACTTGGACCTTCAAGCAGCGACGGCAACACGTCATGGAGCAAAGAGTCATACACGGAACTGTACGGGAGGCCTGAGAACCATGCGAGCATTTCGTAGATGGAAGATGGATGCTTCTTGGAGGTGAAAGTGGCGAAGTGACACACTTCATTGTACTTCTCCAGGTGTTCGAAGAGTCTGGATAAAAGACCTTCATATTTTCTGAAGTGGGCGATGTATAAATCGAAAGAGTCAAATTCATTTGGGTCCTTGTTAAACGTCTGGTAACGACTGAAGGCTCTGCTCAATCTGAAGGCAACAGCCTTACCAGTGTTTTCCTTGGTGATGAGATTTTTAATTTCGAAGCCTTCATGCATGAAATATTTTTTCAATTCATATTTCTTTTTTGCATCACCACTGCCGTCAAGTTTTAGTTGGCTCCACGTTTTACCGCCATTATAGAACAAGTGATGCAACTTATCGAAAAGGGTGTACATACAAGTGAGGAACACCTTTGCGCATCTGTTGGCGTCATCCGTCGGAATCTTATTTTCAGTGCCATCTTTAGTTGCAGGCTTTTTGCTGGTGTCGGCTTTCTCCCACTCAATCGTCTGGCCGTCGTACTTGGAGATGTACACGTTGCCAAGCACTTCGACCAACTGCCGACAGCCACCGGAGATGCCGCCCAGCATTACTGTGACCGGGTTGGGGAAGCCGTCTAGTTTCAGGTCGGAAAGTGTGGCGGTGAGGTCAGCAAGCTTAGTGGGCAAGTTGTGATCGTAGTGATTTTTAGTGCTTATGTCGCCGAGTAATGTCATGAGTGCTGTGCTAACAGCGTCCAGCTTGGCGGAATAGGGATCTTGGGACTGGGGGAGTGAAGGATTTTTCTTGATATTTTCTTCGTTCTCCCTCTTAATGTCTCTAAGGACATAGTCCTTCAGTGGCCCGAAAAATCTGGCGACGGCGAAGGACAAGTGTACTAATTTCGGATCCTCTTTTTGAGGAACGATGTGAGCATTGAAGTGTTCGGAGAATTTCTCCATGAACCCCTTCAGGCCGATGTGTTTGTCGTCTTCAATCATCCCCGGCAACTCACTGAGCTCCCCCGTCACCTTGTCGGCGAACTGCTGGAGCGCGAACTTGAGGGCCTCGACGTACTGCCTGCGCGCGTGGGTGGTGAGTGTGGTTTGGGCGGATTTTATTTCTGTATTTACATGGTCTGTTATTACTTGAATGTAGTGTTTATCGGCCCTTTCAAGATATGTATCGAGTAAATCCTTGGCTTCCTTGAGGGCATTGGACACAGGAGTTTGCAGCGCCCTGAGATCATGCCTAATTTTCTTGATGCTGTTTTGAGAATTCTTGGCGCCTTCCGAATATTTTATGAAATATTTTTCTTTGAGCTCGTTTAATTTTGCTTTTGCGCTATCAGGATCAGATTCCGCAGCTTTTTTAATAGCGCCGCACAGTTGACCAAGGTTGCTGCTCACAGCGTTGACGTGGTTAAGAAGCTCAACATATGCCTCGTTGGCTGAAGTTTCGAAAGGGCCAACGTCATTTTGAATAGGGGTGAGTTCACTTGTCACGATTGCGTTGACTGCGGTTTGAAGGTTCTCGATACCTTTAATGGCCGCCTCGTTCAAAAGGTTGCCGAGTGAATTGTTGAAAATGTCGCCTTCTGCGGCCTGATCTTGCAATGTTGATTTAATTTTGGCATATATTTCCTGGGAAGTTGGTCTCCCTCTCCATTCGTTTTTAGCGTCGTAGAGGTGCTTCAAGACCTGTTCTAAGGTTTGTCCACGGGAAGGATCATCCCTTACGGTCTCCAAAAATCCTCCCAGTGATCTGAACTCCCTATGTGCTGCCAACTTGGTGACCAAAGCTTTAAGACCAGGAATCTCGCTACGATTCAAAATGCCCTTAGTCCCGTCGACCCCCTCCTTTAATGCGTCCTTAAATGTGTCCACAAAACTTCCGACGTTCGTCTTTACAGCTCCTATTAGCAAATCAATCGAATATTTCAAGTTCCATACATTATTTAACGCACCCTTCTGAAATCCATTCAACTCCTTCGGCACCTGTTTCTTAAATTCACGTTCAACCCCTTCCAGCTTATACATCACGCACTCTTTTTCCGTCCCTTTGCCATCCGCTCCCTTTATTTTCTTGAAAAGCTCATCGAATTTCTTTTTTACCTCGCTAACCTGCTCATTCAATCTATTAACCTGCAAGGTAATATGCTCAACCGCCTGGTTGATCAGCGCAGGATGTTTAGTTGGATCGTCTACGTTAATCTGCGCCAATATTATATTGACCTGTTTGTCCGTATCGCTCACTATTTTTTCCACATTAACAATCCACTGCTCCAGGTCAAAAATATATTTTGCCAACTTGCCATCAACTTCTTCCAACTTTTCCTTAATTGGCCTAACTTTCTCTTTCAGCGCAGCAACAAACGCTCTCACATCTTCACTAATTCTACAATCAACGTCTGTTTTCAGAGCACTCATCACATCTTCAACTTTCTTAATCGCTTGCTTAAGCTGTTCACTTTCATACCCCTTCACCCTCCCCAACCGCTCACCCTCATACTTCACTGTCTTACGCACGCTCTCAAGCTTATCTTTTAATTTAGCATTCAAGTCGGAAATTGAGTCTTTATGTGTGCTACGTGAAGTGTCTAAATTAGTGATAAATGCCGCAGCATTTTTCTTGCAATCTTCCAGCTTGATATCAATCTGCCTTTCGGCCTCCGTGATGTCCTTGTCCTTGTAATTAATCTTCTCACCTGCATCATTATTTTCACGCAATATGTATTCCACACTTTTCACAAATGAATCATTAACACTATCACGCAATGTAGTAATTACATCACTAACACTTTTATTCGACGCCTTCACACCCTCATTATACTCCCTCACCCCCTGGACCACTGCGCGAATCGCAGTATTAAAACCATCTTTGCCAGAGTGTTTATTGGCTTCAAGGGACATAATTGCACTTTGAATATTATTTTTATGTAAGCCTAATTTAGGCTGAATGTTATGCAAAACACCATGAAGGAAAGACATCACCCCGTCGCACAGCCTGTCAAGGTCGGAGTACACGATGCCAGTGCCATCGTAGCCTTTGGAAGTTTCTTGGTATCCAAGGAACTTCTCCAGGCCAGAGCACAGGTTAGTAAGTAAATCATGTGGATTATTATCATTATTCTGTTTCAATGTCTTAAGTTTCTTTTTAAGCTCCTCAAGCTTCTTATGCTGAGCACAGTCAGAAGAGGCAGGAGACTGCGGAGACTTTTTACAGTTTTCACAGTCTTCATGCTGCTTTGTAAGCCTCGCAATTTCTTTCTCAATTAACTCTATAATGCTCTTTTCAGAGCCACTAAACTGTGTAAGCTTCACAATAACATCAATGCCATGATGCACTTCCCCCTCAAGGGAGGACGCACGCTGCTCGTCCATGTAATGGGACTTAGTGCAGTCATCTTTGTTGGATTGTAACAGCTTAATTTGTGATTCTAAAGAGGATATTTCATTAGTTTTATTAGTGTTTTTAGCGTCATTAAGTTTTTGTTGGTTGGACTTCATAAGCCCATCAAGTGTACTACAGTAGGACTGCGGATCATGTGGATTTGGAGAGCAAGAGAGCATTTGGTATTTGTGAGAGAGGGAAGTTGTGGCCTTAGAAATAGCATCACCAATCAACTTTTTCAAAGCCTCAGCCAAAGGACCAAGGCCATCACCATTGGTACCATTCCCATGCTTAACCTGTATCAACCAGTCGATGGAGGCCGACGAAGGAGGCCAATTAAGGTGAGAAAAGCAAAGTGGAAAAAAGGTTAAAGGGCGATTAGAGGAGGTGGAAAGGGACACTTTTGGAGAATTTTAGAATTTTTTGAGAAAGGCGATTTTAGGTGAAGGGGGCAGCGAGGGAAGGAGGGAGGTGGGTGGACAAGGCGAGGGAAGTGAAGGGGCGAAAGAGGGCGATGAAGGGGGAAGAGGGAATGAGGTAAGGCGATTTTAGAGGTGGAGGGGAAAAGTGGAAAAGGAGGATTTGGCTGAAGGACGCCGACGGAGGAGGTGATGGAGGAGGAGGCAGGGAGCGAAGCGACCAGTGAAAGAGGGAGGTGGGTGGTTGAGTGGGTGATTAGGTGAGTGGGTGAGTTGGGTGAGTGAGTGGTTGAGTGAGTGGTTGAGTGGTTGAGTGAGTGAGTGAGTGAGTGGTTGAGTGAGTGGGTGAGTGGGTGGTTGAGTGGGTGAGTGAGTGGTTGAGTGGGTGAGTATGTGAGTGGTTGAGTGGTTGAGTGGGTGGGTGGGTGGTTGGGTGAGTGATTAGGTGAGTGAGTATGTGAGTAGGTGAGTGGTTGAGTGAGTGGGTAGGTGGGTGAGTGGGTGAGTGAGTGGGTGGGTGAGTGGTTGAGTGGTTAGGTGGGTGAGTGGGTGGTTGAGTGAGTGGGTGGGTGGTTGAGTGGGTGAGTGTGTGAGTGAGTGGGTGGGTGGTTGATTAGGTGAGTATGTGAGTGGTTGATTAGGTGAGTATGTGAGTTGGTGAGTGAGTGAGTGAGTGAGTATGTGAGTGGGTGGGTGAGTGAGTGGGTGAGTGAGTGGGTGAGTAGGTGGGTGAGTGAGTGAGTGGGTGAGTGAGTGAGTGGGTGGGTGAGTGATTGAGTGGGTGAGTGAGTGGTTGAGTGAGTGGGTGAAGGCACGATTATGGTGAGAAGTACTTGACGTTGGCGAGTGCCTTGACGCGTGCGGCGGCGAGGAGGGACTGGGCGGCGATGCGGTGGCTTGAGGGTGATTTTAGGTGCGAGCGTATCCTCAGGACGTCGAGGCGGACGACGGCGATGTGCAGCAGGTACAGGAGCGACAGCGACCAGAGGGCTAATAAGAGGTAGGAGAAGGGTGTACGAATGATCCATAGGAATTCGTCGCACTCTTTGAATAGCTCCTTGAAATATTCTGAATCAAGGACATTCTTCAATTGGGTGCAGAAATCTTTACACTTCTTCGCTGTGCTACCACCATTCAACGTCGACGCCTCGCCGAAGCTGAATCCATACTGGTAGAGCGTCGGTGCCACGCCTCTGCAGGATACTATGGAATCACACTCACAGGTAACATCTTTCTTATCATCCTCAACGACACCATGCTTGCCACTCCTACACGTGTCTCCTCTGAGACATCCACAGCATCCCCAATCTGCACAAGTGATTCCACAGAAAGCGTTATATAAATTGTTGAGTAAATCCCAGAACGTCCATGGGAGGTAGATGGCCCACGACAAATATGTGTTGCAATGCTTCAGTGCCAGGTAATAATTGGAGTCGCAGGATAACGATGAAAGGTAGGGGGCGCACAATGTATTTTTAATAGGGTCACTACACGACGATGTCATAGAAAGACTTGATAAATCGTCATATAGAGGACGATGACTATTATCAGCATAATTGTAATGCCTACTACGGTATGCGTCACGAAGCGCACCGGTGAGCTCATCTGCTTTCTTATACAGATCAATAGATTGGCTTTTTATAGATTTCTCAAACTCTTTCTCCATCGGATTTTTATATGTATTCTTACTGTCAGCCCAATCCTTAACAAGGGATAACACAAAACCGAAGTGCTCTGGGAGCGAAGCCGGCGTTTTCGGTTTAAGGCAGAATAGGGATCTGAGGTCGGCGTCATCGAGCATTTTGGTCAGCACGTTACACAGCTCTTTACCTCTACGCGTACTTCCAGAGAAACCTCTGAATCCGAGTGGCGTTAAACATGGCTGCCCAGGAGTGGATTTGGGACAGGTGTTACATGTAGCTGTACAACCGATGGAGGATAGCTGATGAGGTAAGTGACCGGGAAGACTGTCGGTAAAGTACGACATAAGCGGTGACCTGGGAACGCAGTCGGATTCCTTATCAGCAATATGCTTGTCGCACTGCCAGTTAGCGTGTTTGACCTGCTTACCATACTGGCAGCCGGCCCAACCAAAGTCGGATGACAGACTATTACATCGACTCTGCAAGAATCTACATACGGGAAACATTCTACGTAATATGTCAAGCAATGTATCTAAACAAGCTTCCCCGGAAGAGGGGTAACTCAAATTAAGGTAATTGTTGCTAAAGTCGGAAGCGTACACTGTGTGTTCGTCTCCGGTGCCAAGGATTGCGGTGAGGATGTTACGTGAATTGCTAGATAGATACGGCAAGCCATGCTTTGCTACTTTGGACAATATAGTTTTTAAATGGCTGTCTTTCTCATCATCACAAAGCTTTTGACAACGCTGCTTAAGCTTCTCGTAAGCACTGTTGTACTCCAGACCGCAGCACCATGTGAGCATCTCGTAAACGGAGCACGGTGACTTTTTGGCGGCGAATGAAGAGATGTGGCCGACTTTGTAATATTGATGAAGGTGACTGAGTAGGCAGTCAAGGATACCGATGACATTAAACTTAATTTCATTTTCCTTTGTTGCATTGCACGCCTTGAGATGTTCATCATCCTTGGCGTTCGATATTTCTTCATCAAGCTTTTGACAAATATGCCCACCTTTCATGTTTACAGAACATCTCAACTGACCATCTTGCTTTACGCCGTCGTTGAGAGGAATGGTGAAGCCACGCTTTTGGAAGAAGCATCCGAGTTTATTGGTTCTCTTTTCATCATTTTCGCATATTTTGTTGTGTTTCCAAGGGCCATATGTAGTATTACATTTTTCTTTCAAGTATGCCAAGTCTTCACTCAGCCCCTCCAGTATGGTCAGGCAGACCTTGGCGCAGTTGCGGCCCTCGGTGGAAAGGACGGTAACTTGTTTGATGGGTTCGGTGTCAGAGGCTTTCTTTTCTAATAGTGAACCAAACGTCTTCCCACTGTATCTGTTCACGTACGCGTTTCCGAGTTGCTCGGTGAATTTGTCCATGCCGGACTTGAGGGCGTCGAGGAGGATGCTGTTTGGGGTGTGGAATTTCTTAGGTGCGAAGTCATTAAGGGTCTTTTGTAGGTTTGTAAGGTTATCAGTGAAGTTGTGGTCGAAGTGTTTAGATGTTGCAAGGTCAGTGAGCAAGTGATGTAACGCCGACCTGGAAGGGTCAACTTTAGAGTGCACGATTTTAATATCTCTCTGTCCATAAAAGCCTTCATATAATTCACTGAACCAATGAATTAATGTGCCTGAATATGATTGTAGAGATTTTTTCTCCGTTGGCTGGGAGACACCAGATAAACTGGCAGGCGGGAAGAAACTGTTATGTGGATCAACAAATTTCTCTTTTAACGTACTTAGGAACTTTTTAGCACCCCTTTTTTTATCTTCATCAATTGTCTTCTCAATCTCCTCCAACTCCCCCTCAACGATTTTCTGCAGGGCTTCGACTTCCTTTGTCTTGCGGTTGGTGTAGAGGGATTTGGCTTTGGATTGGAGGCCGGTGAAGGCGGAGGTGATTTTGGAGTTGGCGGCATTTCGCAGTCTGTTAAAAACGTTTGCGGTCTCTTCCATGGCATCCACAAGCAGTGTGTTGGCATTATGAATGCAGCCATTGAGTTCGTGTTCAGCATCTGTGGTTTTCTTCTGAACGTCCTCCACTTTTGTGCCAAGCTGAGTGACGTCTGCTTTAAGCTGCTTCAACTGAGCGTAGACAGTGCCCTGTTCATCAGGAGATGTGGTACCAACAACTCCTTGTAGTGTCTTAAGCTCCCGATCAATGCCCTCCTCAAAATCAGTAACTAATTTCGCGAGACCTTTTGCGTACCGATTCGTGCTGTATGCAACGTCAAGGTCGCTCTTATTATTTACACAGTTGCTAATGTTTTCAAGTTTAACACTAACAGACTGCACCACGTTTGTAAGCTCGCCTTTCACTTTTTCTGCAATCTTCTCCATAACTTTCTGGACGACGTCCTTGGAATGATCCGAGACGATTTGGGGGATGGCAGCCAGGGAGTTTAGCAGATTTATCGTGTCTGGTTTTGTTACGTTTTGCTGAGGCTGAGACGTTCCATCAAGCTTATCGACTACAGTTTTAATTGATGTTACATGTCGTTTGAGATCAAGATCTTTGGCCTCGAATTCATTGCCTAGAATTTTTTGCAGCTTTTCTTGGAGCTGTTTAAAGTCAGAAACGTCTCCATTAGCAAATGTTTGAAGTTTTGAAAGTTCACTCTTTGTCTTATTAAGTTCCTCCTTCAACACATCTTCCTTGACTTGTTGAACACCCCTCCTGATCCCTTCACCTATCCTATACATCACCGTCTTTAAAGGTTCCATAACATCAGTATCAACCTTATTGAAATATGCTTCGAGAGGTTCGAATGGTTTACCTTTTCCGGCAATAGCCTTAAGGAAGATTACCGAAACAGTACGGCCATTAGCTCCTTTAAGACCGCCAATATTACTTAAATCCTTCAACTTATTAATGTCACTCTCGACTTCATGAATCGCCGTTTGAAGCGCATTTTTAGTCTTCGGGAATTTTTCATTAAATTCATTTGATTGCTGCACGAGAGTCTTTAATTCGCCAACTACCTGACTTCCATACCTCTTTACGATTGCTTGGATTCCATCATTTACTTTCGCAAAGGCATCCTGGAGTCCGTAGTTGACAGATGAAAACAAATCATCGAATTGCTTAGTACGCAACTTCTCCAGCCTATTGCTCAACGCCCCAATCCATTTTTTCAAATACCTCTGAACTTCATGCATACGGTCTCTCGTCGCCTCAGTAAGAAATTCACTCACCTTCTCCATCCTCTCCCGCGCCATCTCGTACACCTCCTTCAAGTCATCATTCCCCGCCGCCTCCTTGAATGTTGTAGTCGCCTGCAACAGCATTTTAACGTGCGGAGTTAACTTACCTGAGAGTGAAGGATCGATGTTTTTAAGGGCCTCTTGGGATGTATTAACATGGTTAATATACCACTGCGCTCGATCCTTCCACTTTTCAAGAATATCAGAAATTGGAAGAACATTAAGAGAGTCTATGTTTTTAATGTGATCATCTATATCACCTTTAAGTACGCTAAATGGACCAGTAACAAAAGAATTTTTTTCTTTCACCTCATCTCCATACCTCCCAAGCCACCCACTCACCTTGCCAACCTGATCACCAAATTGCGCAGAGCCCTTACCTATGGAAACTTCAAGAGAGTTGAGAACATCATCCAATTTACTTCCACTAAGATTGTCATCGTACTTTTTAACAGCATCATCATCCTGCACTCCACCAAGAACTCCATGAAGTAAAGACATCACCCCGTCACACAGCCTGTCGAGGTCGGAGTACACGATGCCATCGCCGGTGTAATTACCATTACTGTGGCCGAGAAATTTTTCGAGGCCTGTGCAGAGGTTATTTAATAATGATGTTGAAGGATTATTATTGTCAACTTGGTTAGCATATCCACAAAGCCCTTTCAGCGTCTCAAGAGACCTCTTGGAAGCATTGAGACTGAAGATCCTTATTAAGGTTGTCAATTTCAGAGGCATTTTGAGGAGGTTGATAGGCAATTTAAATATTTAAAAGGGGATTATTAAGGACATTTTGAGGGCGATTTGGGGGAATTTGGGGAAAGGCGATTTTAGGTGAGGAGGCAGCGAGGGAGGTGGGTGGACAGGGCGAGGGAGGTGAAGGGGCGAGAGAGGGCGATGAGGGAGGAAGATGGGTTGAGGTAAGGCGATTTCGGAGGTGGAGTGAAAAGGTGGAAAATGAGGGTTTGGGTGAAGGACGCCGACGGAGGAGGTGATGGAAGGGGTGAGGGAGGAGGGAGCGAAGCAACCAGTGGAAGAGGGGGGTGGTTGAGTGAGTGGGTGGTTGAGTGGTTGAGTGGTTGAGTGGGTGGTTGAGTGGGTGGTTGAGTGGGTGGTTGAGTGGGTGGGTGAGTGGGTAAGTGGCGATGATGATAGTGAGAGTGGGTGGTTGAGTGGGTGAGTGGGTGAGTGGTTGAGTGGGTGAGTGGGTGAGTGAGTATGTGGGTGAGTAGGTGGTTGAGTGGGTGAGTGGGTGATACACAGATCACAGGTGAAGGCACGATTATGGTGAGAAGTACTTGACGTTGGCGAGTGCCTTGACGCGTGCGGCGGCGAGGAGGGACTGTGCGGCGATGCGGTGGCTTGAGGGTGATCTCAGGTGGGAGCGTATCCTCAGGACGTCGAGGCGGACGACGGCGATGTGCAGCAGGTACAGGAGCGACAGCGACCAGAGGGCTAATAAGAGGTAGGAGAAGGGTGTGCGTATTGCCCAGATAAAGTTATCGATTTCATCGAATAATTCTTTGAAATATCCTTTCGTTAGAACCCTGGTCAACTGCTTTACGAAATTGTCACATGTCTTCATGCTTTCAGATCCCATTAACTCTTTTGGCAATCCGAATGTGAATCCGTACTGGTAGAATACGGACATGGGTCCCTTACATTGGACTATTGAATTGCAATGGCAACTGGGCTTCGAAGCTTTTGGCGCTTGCGATGTATCCTCCTCAGTGACGCCGTGTTCACCAAAACCGCATTTGCATAGACATCCATATGATTGACAGGATATGTCACTAAACGCCTTGAGCAACTGATCAAGCAAATCCCAGAATGTCCATGCCAACTGGCAAAGCCATGACAGATACAAGTTTGCGTGTTTCGCAGGGTATGTGTGACAGGCGTCGTGGCAGAGTGCTTTGAGGTAGGGAGCGCAGGTGGAATCGGGAGCACATTGTTTTGTCTTATCATGCGATGGGTTCGGTGACAAAGTGTGAAGACCATGATGATTATCGTCCGCTATTGCGCCGTTGTGTTCGTTGTCAGAGCAATACAATGTATTAAACGCATCTGTAAGCTTCGAATTTTGGTAACTTTGGTGAAGCCACGTATCATTTTTGAACGGGAAGCTGTCGTTGATTGCTTTCACAATCGCCCCCTCTACCGTGTTGTTAGGCCCATACACTGAACCGTATGATTTCTGGAATATGTTACAGTAGTACGACAGCATCTCTGCCAATCCCTTCGGTGGAGAGGGCGATATGCATTGTAATGCGTGCACTAATTCACACAGAACTGAGCCGCCGTTTTTACAAAGCGTAGCAAGCACATCAACGAGGTCATCGCCACAGCCTGTAATAGAGCCTGCAGTGGCCAAATCTGCAAAGCCCATCGGGGTGATACACTGCCCAACCAGTGGGCCCTTAGGGCACGTTGAGCAAGTGGGCTGGCAACCGACAGCTGTGAACTTATGCGGCATGAAACCAGGAAGGCCATCCATAAGATGGGCCTGCAGCGGGGACTTTGGTAAGCAATTTGGTTGGCTATTTGGTTCACTATTTGGTTGGCACTTAGCTTGACTCTTTGGTTGTGTGCTTGAGTTGTCGCTTGACTTGTCGCTTGACTTGTCGCAGTCCCAGTGGTAGGTGCCGATGCGATAACCATATTGACACTCACGCCACCCGTTGCCGTCGGATGCTGTGTACCTACATTGTTGGTATAAGAAGCACAGTGCACGCAACAAACGACTACACATATCTTTCAACATGCCAAGCAACGACGACGGATCACCGGGGTAGTAGAACCCTCCGTGGTTGTTCTCAAAGCAGCACGCATATGGATACGCAGCGTGGCTTGCGCCACTGCCGTGGCCCTGGATGGAGACTAATAATTTAGGTGCCAAGTGACATGCTTTTTTAATGGTATTATGAAGATGTTGCAAGCAACTACGAAGCACTTCATCATTGTAATACGGCTTTTCACCAGTCGCTTCGTCTTTCTGGTTAAGTATTTTTTGGCAGTGGCCATCAATTGTTTTATAAACTGCAGTGTGAGGAAGGCCGGAAAGCCATACACAGATATCACGCACGGAACACGGATGCTTTTTGGACTTCGGGAGTCCGAGGTGGCAAGATTGGTAATACTCACCGACGTGAGATGTGAGACATTTAAGTAGGTCAAAGAGATCAAATAGTGATTTCGCCGTTTGGCCTTCGTGATGTTTTTCTTTTACGCACGCATTAAGGTGTGAATTATTATGGGTGTCGGTTATTGACGCAACAAGTTTCCCGAAAACGTCTCCCCCCCTCATCTCTTTATGACATCTCAGCTCTCCTTCATAGGAACTTTCCGTTCTGGATACCTTGTAGCCGCAGTTCTGGAAAAATGCGCCGAGGGGATTGTAAACTCCTGACTTGGAGATGAGGGAAATTTTGTTTTCCTTCCACTGACCGTTTGTCTTGTGACATCTCTCATGAAGCTCACGCAAATCGTGATTCAGAGTCTTGAGAATGGTGACGAGTATGTGGGCGCATTTCATCGCCTTTTCGGACGGCACTGTTTCTTGAGTTGGAGGATTATTCTGTTTCGTCCACTCAAAGCTCTCCGCAGCCCCCGAGTACCTGCTGACGTACTGCTTGCGTAGCTCCTGCGCGAATTTCACGAGGCCCTGCTTCAGGGGCTGCAGCACTTTTTTGGGGGCGTCGGGGAACGTGTCGGCGGGGAATGCTTGGAGCGCTGCCTCGAAGGCTTCGCGCGCCGTGGAGACGGAGTGGTGGAAGTGCTGGTGGTGGAGCAGTTTGTCGAAGACGTCATCTAGGGAGGCGTGGAGTGACTTGATGTCGGAGGATTTGGACGTGATGTCGGATTGAGATTGTAAATAGTGGCATAAATCTTCGAAGTATTTTTTGACTTCAACGGCCAAGGGACGCATTGTTTTATGCTGATATGTTATGGATCGCAGTGAAATTTTCACGAGACGCAAGAGACCTTTTGGGCCGGTGATTCTGTCTTTGCGGATGACGGATTTTATTTCTTTTAGTTGGGCGGAGACGAGGGATTTTAGGGCGTGAAGGTCGGAAATATTTCGGTTGGCAAACAATATCTTCACTTCTTTGGTGATCTCCTCGAATGCTTCATTTGCGGTGCGGTTGATCTCGGTTTGAAGCTTGGTGATGGCTGCCTTTAAGGCGTTTTCAGCGTTAGTGGCAGCATAGCCTAGTGCCTCAATTGTTTCTTTAAACACATTCTCGGCACCAACTACGGCCAGATTAATTTCATTGATTTGCTTGTGTATTCTCTCAAATGCATCACATAACTGCTGCATAAGTTTACAGGATTGTTCCTGCTGTCCCATGATTGTGTGCGGTAAGTTTTTAAGTGACGAAAGTTCTGTACTAATCTTTGTAACGGCCAGATCCAGTGCCTTTTTTGATGTATAAAAATGAGTCATGAGTGAGGGAACCTCACTAGTGAGTATATCAGATTTTTTCAGATTCCGAATAACGTTGTTCTGAATATCTTCGGCAATGCCGTCAATGAGTGGTTTACCTGCGCCACCAATTGTTGTCTTAAGCGTAGCCAAAATTTTCATGAAGTTTCGTATGGCTTGAGAATCGCTGAGTTTTTTCTCAGCTGAAGTAAACCACTCTTTTAATTTCGTGTTTTTGAGACATTCAATTTTGTCAAGACTTTTCCCACCAATCTTTATCTCACCTTGGGTAGTGGTACTCCCTCTGACAGCACCACTACTAGAGGTGTTTTTCACATCAACATTACCATTTAAACATCCAAAATAATGTTGAATTTCGCCAACGATGTTATTCCTCAACTCCCATAAATCGCTCTGAATTTTACCAAGCAGCCCGTCGACTCGGCTGACAACGACAGAAAACTCCGTCTGAAGCGTAGTGCTGTTACTATCATTAATAAACTTATCGACAACGTCTTTTAGCTCAGTGAACTTTCGTATGATCCCATCTCTATAAGTCCCATCAAATTTCTCCAAGCTGCCGTTCACTAAATCTTGAGCTGTCTTCACGGCATATATCATGTTTGCGAAATGATCATTTCTCGTCGTTATCAGCTTAGTAATGTCTTTCCATATGCTCTTAAAATCGTCTCTCAACTTTTCCTGCAGATCCTTGCATTCGACCTTAATCCTCGTCAGCACATTCTTCTTGTGCTTCGCTAGCTCCGCATCCACATGTTTCACCTGAATATTCAAATCATCATTCCCTGCCGACTCCTTCAACACCTGCACAGATTTCTGAATTGGCCTCACTTCATGTAACACACAATCACGCAATTTACGATCTAACATATTAACACAATTAGTTTCAGTTAGGTTTAGGTGAATATCTATGTCGCTGAGCACTCCCTTCCACTCCTTGAGCTGTTCTTCCAGTCCCTGCGAAGCATTAACCTTATTAAAATACTTACCTAATAAGTCTTCTTGAAGTGTAGAAAGATCATTTGTAACATTGTATATCATCCATTTAAGTCGATCATTATACCCCTCCAACCACCCCTTCACGCTCTCGACAGACGCCGAAAGACCGTTACGCCCGGTGCCAATTGAAGTAGTTAATTCACGAAGAACATTTTCAAGTTTATTATTCATATAATCATTGTATTTTGTAACGTTATCGTCATCTTTCACAGTCTCAAGAACTCCATGAAGGAACGCCATCACCCCGTCGCAGAGCCTGTCGAGGTCCGAGTACACGATGCCGGAGCCGGTGTAATTACCATTCTTGTGGCCGAGAAATTTTTCGAGGCCTGTGCAAAGGTTTTCTAAAAGCTTTTTAGGATTATCAGATTTTTTATCAAATTTCTCAGCAAAATCACAAAGCTCTTTCAGTGTCTCAAGAGACCTCTTGGAAGCACTATGAGACTGAAGATCCTTATTAAGTTTTGCAATTTCAGAGGCATTTTTACTATTATTATCATCATTATTTTGCTCATTTTTAAGATCTTCAATGCCTTTTTCAAGCTTCTCAATTTTTTTGTTAATTTCCTCATTAAGCTCATTTAAGGGACCAACAGGATCATTTAACTTGCACATAGTAAGGATTTCAACAAGATTTTCAGAGGGATTTGGTTCCTCTTTAAAGTGATTTTTAAGTGTATCAAGCTTCTCATTAAGAGTGTTAATTTGACTACGATGATCATTACACCCCTCACCTCCGCAAGATGCTTTCAAAAGCTTATCAAGCTGATTTACATTACTTTGCAAACCCTTTACAAGTGCATTTTGAACTTCCTCACTTTTGCCAATAAATCCCGAAAGCTGTCCAGCAAGCTGACCAAGTTGGATACGGCGGGACTCAATATCATCCAAGGCTTTTCCCCTGGCGTCCTCAGTAAGGTAATGAACGTCATTATAATGGTCATTGTAGTGGGATTAAAGGTTGATTAAGGGAGAGTTAAAAGAAGTAAAGGGGGATGAAATGGCACATTTTAGGGCGATTTGGGGGAGTTTGGGGAAAGGCGATTTTAGGTCAAGGAGGCAGTGAGGCAGCGAGGGAGGTGGGTGGACAAGGTGAGGGAGGTGAAGGGGCGAAAGAGGGCGATGAGGGAGGAAGATGGGTTGGGGAAAGGCGATTTTAGGGGTCGAAGGAATTTTTTGGAAAATGAGTGTTTGGGTGAAGGACGCCGACGGAGGAGGTGATGGAGGAGAGGGAGGAGGGAGCGAAGCGACCAGTGAAGGAGGGAGGTGAGTGGGTGGGTGAGTGAGTGGTTGAGTGGGTGGGTATGTGGGTGGTTGAGTGAGTGGGTGGGTGAGTAGTTGAGTGGGTGGTAGAGTGGGTGGTTGAGTGGGTGGTTGAGTGGGTGGTTGAGTGTGTGAGTGACTGAGTGGGCGAGTATGTGAGTGGTTGAGTGGTTGAGTGGGTGGGTGGTTGAGTGAGTGGGTGAGTAGTTGAGTGGGTGGGTGGTTGAGTGAGTGGGTGAGTAGTTGAGTGGGTGGGTGAGTGCGTGGTTGAGTGGGTGAGTGGGTGGGTGGGTGGTTGAGTGAGTGGTTAGGTGAGTGGGTGGTTGAGTGGGTGAGTGATTAGGTGAGTGAGTGATTAGGTGAGTGGGTGGTTGAGTGAGTGAGTGGGTGAGTGAGTGAGTGGGTGGTTGAGTGGGTGGGTGGGTGGTTGAGTGGGTGGGTGATACACAGATCACACGTGAAGGCACGATTATGGTGAGAAGTACTTGACGTTGGCGAGTGCCTTGACGCGTGCGGCGGCGAGGAGGGACTGCGCGGCGATGCGGTGGCTTGCGGGCGATCTCAGGTGGGAGCGTATCCTCAGGACGTCGAGGCGGACGACGGCGATGTGCAGCAGGTACAGGAGCGACAGCGACCAGAGGGCTAACAACGTTAGCATAAATGGCCATCTGATGGCGAGGAGGAATTCAGGAATTGTCTTGTGTATCAACTTTGCAAGCACTGATTTATCTGAACATATAATCTCCAACTGTTGCATTAGTGTCTTACACGTTCTTTTAGGGACATCATGATGTCCGACGCGTCCATTCAAATGTTTCCGATTGCCAAACGTGAGGCCGTAGGTGAACAACGTAGCATAGGTTGAACGGCAATTGATGATCGAATTACATGGGCCGTCATGTTTATATGATCCCTCAATATGCGACTGAGTGGCAAGGCTGCAAATGCCTTTAGTGCATCCTTTGATTCGGCATTTCTGATTCTTGGTGCCGCAATTACCGTCACAGTTTTTGCACAACTGGCATAGCAAGCCGTATAATGTTTCGGTTAGGTATACGATCGTGGAGAGATATTGCGATGCATTTCTTGAAGCAAAAGTACCATAGATTGGTTGACTTAGAGAATCTATATAAGCCCCGCATTTGCCGCTCTCAACGTAGCATGAGTTGTCTGGATTTATTAAGCTGTACAGGTCGCCGGTGTTATGATACAATCTGTACCTTGAACCATGGCCCGGCTCAGCGGCGCCCACATGCTTCCTATTTTTGAATAACTCTGAACATTCGTTCATTTCATAATACGGGCTCTTGAAGTGGGCGTTGTTGACCGCCTCGTTAAATGCATTCACCCTGTGCTCGCCACTGTTGTTCCAATCTGCAAAAAAGCTGAAGTAAAAGGCTAACAGCTGGTCCAATGTCTGTGGCGCACTGTGAAGCAAACAGTTGAGCTGGTTGCAGAGTCTGGTCAGGACAGATGTCTTGTTACCACAGAAGTCATGAAGCGTCGTGAATAAATGCCGACCAATTTGCGTATGCGATGCCATAGTACTAATATCATTAAAGCCCATCGGTGTTTTGCAAGGCGTACCAGATAACGTCTTACTACAGGTGGAGCACGAATAGCTTGTCCCTTTACTGGAAAGGGCATGAGGCAAAAAGCCTTGTAATCCGTCCTCTAAGTAGGACTGCAGTGGAGATTTAAGGCCGCACGTAGGGTGCCGGTTACATGTTTGGTCACACGTTTGGTTGACCATTTGGTTGGCCTTTTGGGTAGCGCTTTGGTTGACTCCTTGGTTGAATGCTTGGTCGCACCGTTTGTTTGGACACCGCATATTGTTGCACATCCAACCGGAGCCAGCAACACTCTGACCGTAGTAGCAGTCAGACCAGCCACTCAGTGCAGTTGTATGTCTACACTGTTCGAGCAAGAAATGAAGTTGGTGTTGGAGTCGCTTTATGACATTGAACAGCAAGCATAGTAACGTTATCATGTTAGTGGGATAGTATAATTTCAGTGAATTATTAGAGAATTCGCAGGCATAACGGCCGTCAGCGTGTCCGTTGCCGAGGATGGTTGTGAGGACGGGATATGCATCGCCACAAACGTCTGTCAGGGCTTCTACTACGTCGGCTGCAGTAACATTTGACGGAGACGCGTCAATGGGCTTAACTGATTTGCCATCTGGGTGCGTCTTGTCCTCCACCATGAATTCGGATTTAATGTGGTGCTTGAGTTTGTCAAACACAGAATTGAACTGCAGTCCGCAGAGCCAAGAAAGCATTTCATACACGGAGCATGGAAGTCTTGACGAATCAATATGGGTAAAGTGGCAGACCTCGAAGTATTTTTTGAGCCAGTCATACAGCTTGGGAATTAGGCCGTCCACGACAACATCTATCGCCGGCTCGTCAGCGGACATAGAACGGGGGTCACTAGCGGTAAGTGAATGTATACTGCTCTCAAACAATTCATATCGTACGTCATTTAGGTTGTTGAGAATACATTCACCGTTGTATCCCTTTTTGTGGTTCAATTCGCCATATAGGCTTGCAGCTGGGCGACCGATGTCATACCCATTTGCGGAAAAGAACAGTGTATGTAGACTGTGGTGCGATGCTGTGGAGTCATATATTCTATGGGATGTCCAATCATTTTCAAGCCCATTTCTGAGCTCGCGTAATACGTGATACAAGGTGGGCGTGATGGTGAGCATTATTTTTGCGCACTTCTCTTGTTTGGGATTAGTGTTGTCATCCCAGTTTGCTTGGGCGCCGGTATACGCACTAACATATGCGTTGCGAAGCTCATGGGCTAATGCACCGACGCCTTCCTTAAGTGATTGTAACATGGAAGTCGAAGGGTCACCGAATTCAGACGGGTGAAGTACACTAATCTCATTATTAAGGGATTGTAAGTTAATACTAAATTCGTGGTTGAAGTGTTGGGAATCGGCAAGGCCTCCCAGCAATTTCGTGAGAGCGTCACGTGCTGGCTTAAAAATCTCGTACTCGGACTCGAAATCCGTCTGCTTCTTTAGATCATGCAGAAATCTATTGAGGCATCCGAAGAATCTTCCAGCCGCATGACTGAGTGGAGACTTATCTGTAGGAGAGAAGATATTCTTTATGTCTTTAATGCCTTTGATCGATTTGTCCCTTGTGATGAAGTATTTCTCAAATTTGGCCATAAAGCCTTTGAACCCCTTGTCCGCATCCTTCTTTATTTCTTGAGGCAGTCCTTTAAGCTGCTCGGCCACCCTTTCCGAGAACTGTTCAAGTTGCAACTTGATGATGTTAATGTACTGCTTTCGCACATGGGTGGTTAATTGTTCGGTGGCTGTTTTGACCTGGGAGTTTACATGTTCCGTGAGTTGTTTGCTGTAGTGTTTTTCAGCTGCGGCTAAATATTGATCAAGGAGGTGGGTGGTGCGTTTTACGGCGTCCGACACTGCGCCTTGTTGCAGTTTGTCGAGTTTGTCATGAATTGCTTGCAGGGTATTTTCTTTCGCTGGCCTGCCTATAGCAGGCTTGCCGATTTTGTCATCTCTCAACGTGACCAATTGCGCTGATACAACGTTGGTGGTTTCCTCTATCGCATGGGCCAGTTGGGTGAGATGCTCTTTGAGTTGCTCAGCAATAGCGTCCAGCTTCTGCGGGATTGCGTTGGCGGATAGTTCCGTGGCGGTGTCTTTCAGTTTCTCGATCGCGTCGTCCAGCTTTTCGGCGTGGTTTACCGGAGAGCCGGACCCTGAACGTACGCCTGTCGCCGCGTTGAGATGTCCGTTAAGTGTCTCAGCCTTCTCATGAGTGTCCTCCAGTTCCTTAGCTATGCTGCCTTGGGCGCCGAGCGGCCTCTGCTCGTTGACTAACGAGTGAAGTTCTATAGCTGCACCTCTAGCCGTGCCGGCGAGTTGATTGAGAATAGATTGGACGGCAGGTGTGAGCTGAGATTTGTCGGTAGGCGATGAAGACAAAATGCCGAATTGTTTTGCAATTGCATCGGCCATGCCAGAGAAAAATGAATAATCGACAGTGGTACCCCCGTCACCTCTAAGTTTGCCTTCGAGTGAATCGGCAAATTTCTCGCAAGCAGCCTTCACCTGTTGCACATTCGTTGCTATGCTTTTGGTGGTACTCGTGTCCACAACGTTAACAGATGGGAAGCCGTCTGTAAAAACATCGCTTGCCAGCTTAGCCCGAATCGCACTTGCGATTTTATTGATAGCGGATGTATCAATTTTTTTCGTGGTCGAATCTTTATATGGCGCTGTCATCTGCGATTTATTCCCATCCTTCCCAACATAGTCATCAATTTGCTTCTTCACTAAGCCCTTTTCAGTCCCCAATATATCTTTCACCCACTGCTCAACCTTCCCATCAAAATTTTTGAACCCCTCCGCGTACTTCTTAACAGCCTCTTTAATCCCCTCGACACCCATGTAGAATGTACCTAAAGCACTCCCCTTAATTCGCGCAACCTTCCCTCTAATATGCTCCAAAATCCCTTTAATATTTTTATTAGTTTCATCTTTGATCTCACTAAACGCCCCTGCAAGCGCCTTCATCTTCGCATCTACATCTGCAGCCAACTGCGTAAACTGCGAAGTATATTTCTCCAGCATCTTCTTATGCGCTATCAACTTCTCTGCGTCGTCTTTAATATCAAGCTTCTTACTCGTGATGCCATCGCCAACTTGCTCCAAAATATTCTTTACCTGATTCTTCCTTATCTCATCGATGTCTTTCTTAGCGCTCTCCATCCACGATTGCAACTCGATGATATATTGCGCCAACTCGGTGGTAATCTTCTCCAACTTCTCCTTAATTGGCTGAACATGACTTTTCAATTTTTTAATAAAATCCTTCACGTCCTCGTCAATTTTACAATTCACACTAACTTTCAAAGCACTTAACGCCGATCTAATGTTCTCTGTCATCTCCTTTAAATCGCTCTTCTCCTTCTCCGACAACGTCTTGAGTCTCTCACTCTCTTGCTTAACGGTCCGCAGCGCACTCTTAACTTGAAGTGACAGTGGAGAATGGAGATCGTCGATGAGATCATTCACACTCTTGTCATCAATGTTCAAAGCCTCATTGAACTGCTTGGCGTAGTTTTTACAACTTTCCAACTCCCGATTTACAGAGTCCACGGCCACCTGAACCTTGTGAAAATCATTTTCATCATTTTTTGTTAAAATGCCTTTCAAGGCCTCTTTTGTATATTCGGTCATATGTCTAGTAAGTGTTTCAATTGGCTCACTAACACTTTTATTCGACGCTGCCACATTCACATTATATGCACGTACACCACCGGCCACCGCGGCTACCGCCGTCTTGTATTTAGTAATACCATTATTATTTGTGTCTTTAAGTGACTTAAGTGCGCTAGTTAAAGTGCCTTTATGCTGGCCTAATTTAGGCTGAATGTTATCTAAAACACCATGAAGGAAAGACATCACCCCGTCGCAGAGCCTGTCAAGGTCCGAGTACACGATTCCCTCTCCGGTGTAATTACCATTACTGTGGCCGAGAAATTTTTCGAGGCCTGTGCAGAGGTTATTTAATAATGTTGTTGAAGGATTGTTTTAGGCACATTTTCAGGGCGATTTGGGGGAATTTGGAGAAAGGCGATTTTAGGTCAAGGAGGCAGCGAGGCAGCGAGGGAGGTGGGTGGACAGGGTGAGGGAGGTGAAGGGCGAAAGAGGGCGATGAGGGAGGAAGATGGGTTGGGATAAGGCGGTTTAGGAGGTGGAGGGAGAAAGTGGAAAATGAGGATTTGGGTGAAGGACGCCGACGGAGGAGGTGATGGAGGGGGTGAAGGCAGGGAGCGAAGCGACCAGTGAAGGAGGAGGTGAGTGATTAGGTGAGTATGGGAGTATGGGAGTGAGTGGGTGAGTGGGTGGTTGAGTGAGTGGTTGAGTGGGTGGTTGAGTGGTTGAGTGGGTGGTTGAGTGGTTGAGTAGGTGGGTGGGTGAGTGGTTGGGTGAGTGAGTATGTGAGTGGTTGAGTGAGTGGTTGAGTGATTAGGTGAGTATGTGAGTGAGTGGGTGGGTGAGTGGGTGGTTGAGTGGGTGAGTGGGTGGTTGAGTGTGTGAGTGGGTGAGTGGTTGAGTGAGGTGAGTAGGTGGGTGGTGAGTGAGTGGGTGGTTGAGTGTGTGAGTGGGTGAGTGGTTGAGTGAGGTGAGTAGGTGGGTGGTGAGTGAGTGGGTGATTAGGTGAGTGGTTGGGTGGGTGAGTGAGTATGTGGGTGGGTGAGTGAGTGGGTGGTTGAGTGGTTGAGTGAGTATGTGGGTGGTTGAGTGGGTGGTTGAGTGGGTGGTTGAGTGAGTGGTTGAGTGAGTGGTTGAGTGGGTGATTAGGTGGTTGAGTGAGTGGTTGAGTGAGTGGTTGAGTGGGTGATTAGGTGGTTGAGTGGTTGAGTGGGTGGTTGAGTGGTTGAGTGGGTGGTTGAGTGGTTGAGTGAGTATGTGGTTGAGTGGTTGAGTGAGTGGTTGAGTGAGTGGTTGAGTGAGTGGTTGAGTGAGTGGTTGAGTGGGTGGGTGAGTGGGTGGTTGAGTGGGTGGGTGGGTGGTTGAGTAGGTGGGTGGGTGAGTGGTTGGGTGAGTGAGTGGTTGAGTGAGTGGTTGAGTGGGTGGGTGAGTGGGTGGTTGAGTGGGTGGGTGGGTGGTTGAGTGAGTAAGTGATTAGGTGAGTGGTTGGGTGGGTGAGTGAGTATGTGGGTGGGTGAGTGAGTGGGTGGTTGAGTGGTTGAGTGGGTGGTTGAGTGGTTGAGTAGGTGGGTGGGTGAGTGGTTGGGTGAGTGAGTATGTGAGTGGTTGGTTGAGTGGTTGAGTGATTAGGTGAGTGGGTGAGTGGGTGGTTGAGTGAGTGGTTGAGTGAGTGGGTGGTTGAGTGAGTGGTTGAGTGAGTGGGTGGTTGGTTGAGTGGGTGAGTAGTTGAGTGAGTGGGTGAGTGTGTGAGTATGTGGGTGGTTGAGTGGGTGGGTGGTTGAGTGGGTGAGTGTGTGAGTGGGTGTGTGAGTATGTGGTTGAGTGGGTGGGTGGTTGAGTGGGTGGTTGGGTGGTTGGGTGATTAGGTGGTTGAGTGGGTGAAGGCACGATTATGGTGAGAAGTACTTGACGTTGGCGAGTGCCTTGACGCGTGCGGCGGCGAGGAGGGACTGTGCGGCGATGCGGTGGCTTGAGGGTGATCTCAGGTCGGAGCGTATCCTCAGGACGTCGAGGCGGACGACGGCGATGTGCAGCAGGTACAGGAGCGAGAGGGACCAGAGGGCTAATAATGTGATGGAGAATGGTTCCCTGATTTTCCATAAGAAATTGTCGCACTCCTTGAACAGCTTATCAAAATATGTCGAGTGCAATACATTGCGCAGCTGGTCACAGAAATTGGAACATGTCTTAGACGCATTCTCCTTATTCAACGCTGCTGGCGCACCAAATGTGAAACCGTACTTATATAGCGTCGGCATCATGCCTCTGCATTGGACCATAGATTCACAGTGACAATTTGCTGATTTTGTTTTGTCGTTGGTGAGGCCATGCTCTCCACGTCTGCACGTTTCAGCACGTAGGCATCCTCTGCATCCCCAGTCCTGGCAGAAGATGTCCTTTATAGCGTTGTACAGCAATTCAAGATATTGCCACAACGACCACGGCAAGTAAACTGCCCAGGAAAGGTACAACTTGGAATGCGATTTGCCTAAGTAAGTGTAGTAATCGGAGCACAACGTATATACATAAGGGGCACACAGCTGACCGGAACATGCGGTGGCCATTGAGAGACTTGACAAGTCACCTTTGTTAGGTTCATTCTCTTCTGTATTTGGATCTGTGCTCTGATGCTTTTCACTACTGTGACTACTCTGGCTGCTACCGTAAGCGTTGCTCAGCGCAGTGGTTAGGGTGGAGGCGTCTTCATAGAGGCTAATGGAACGGTCGTCGATAGCCTTTTTAAAGGCATCTCTTATTAGGTGATTGCCACCGTCATTCCACTTATTAACAAGTGACAACGTAAACCCAAAGTGTTCTGGCAACGTACTTGGTGCTTTGGGCGCAAGACAGAAGAGCGATGCAAGGTATGTGTCACCGAACAAGTTACGCAGCACGTTGCTTAGGTCTTCACCTTTGCGCGTGGTCCCAGAGAAACCTCTGAAGCCAAGGGGAGTCAGACACGGCATGCCAGGAAGGCTCTTAGGACATGTTGTACATTTTGGTTTGCAACCAATTCCGCTAAGCTGGTGAGGGAGGCAACCGACGAGACTGTCAGTGAGGTAGGACTGAAGTGGAGACGTTGGTTGGCACTTTGATTGACCATTTGCCTGGCACGTAGGTTGGCACTTTGGTTTATAATTTGATTCAGACGTTGAGTGGTTGGTACACTGCCATATGGCTGGGGTTATCTCCTTGCCGAAGTGGCAGTCCGCCCAGCCGTAGTCTGATTCGCCGACTCTGCACTGGAAAAACAAAAATCTGAGCGGTGGGAACATTCGACGCAATATGTCGAGAAGCGTGTCAAGACACTCCGCACCGCTTTTAGGATAATACAGTTTTATGGAGTTATCATAGAAGTCACAGGCGTACATAGTGTGCTCGTCACCAAAGCCGAGAATGGTTGTCAATATGGACGATGATTTCGAACAAATATGGTGTAACAGTTCATAGAAATTTGCATACGTGACTTTATGTGGATATGTATTTAGGAATGTATCTTTCATGTCGAATGCAACAAGGCCATCGGCGGCGCCAAGTGGCTTATCTGGCTCCTCCAGCTTTTCGCTAATGCTGGATAGTAACGCAGAATAAACAGAATTATATGTGAGACCGGCACACCAGAGTAACATTTCATACACGGAACACGGCGGCTTGGTGGCGAATGCTGTGGCGATGTGTCCGACAGCGTAGTAGTCTTGGAGGTATTCGTGCAGGAAGTCAAACGGTCCCTCCCCGTGCTGTCTGAAAACATGACTAAGTGAGTCACCGGCAACGAGCTTATAAACCTCTTCACCTGTGAATTTCTTCTCATTACGCAAATGGCCATTTTGCCTGCCGGCAGCGTCGGACACCTCATAGCCGCACTTCTGGAAGAAGTGACCAAGGGGATTTTTTATTTGCGCTGGCTGAGTATTCCTGTCGATAATGGTAACGTCACCTCGATGAATTGGGAAACGGTACCAATCTTTACTGCATTTTTTCCTCAGTCTGCCAAGATCACTGTTCAAAGTGGAGAGTAGCGTCAAGCAGACTTTTGCGCATTTCTCTGAGTTACTATCTTGATCCCATGGGAAATTATACGCAGCACGATCGTATGCCAAAATATATGCTCTGCGCAATTCCGTGAGGAAAGGCTTGAAGCCTTCCTTGAGAATGTCCAGTAGAGGATTGCATGGCCCGCCGAACTTCAAAGGGTTCATTGTGTCGAGGAACATTTCAAATTCTTCACGTTGCGATGCGAACGTTTTACTGAATCGACCCATGGAAAGCGTGCCGAAGAGTCTGTCGACATGAAGCTTGAGCGTTTCAAGATAGTCCGCATTGGGGTTCTTGGGCGCAGATGTATCCACAGGTTTAGTAGGACCGGAATGTCCGACACGGCCTGGAGGTGGAAGGTTATCGGAAGGCTTTTGAGGCTGACTCTGAGTCTGGGCCGGGGCTTGGCCCCCCTTCGTCTTGCCCGGCGTCTTGACCTGTTCGGTGGTGTAGGAGAGGAGGGCATCTAGGAGATACTTGGAATCCACGGCGACATCGCTAAAGTATGTTAGATTTTTGAAGATGACAGGTGATTTATTGTGCGGTAACCATGTTCCCATGTGATTTAGTAAACCTTTGACGCCGTTTGTTACATCGGTGTCAATTATACTTTTGATCTTTTTGGCCTGGCGTTCGACCAGTTTGTGCAGCGCGGAGAGGTCGGCTTTGTGCTGCTCGATAAAGAGGGATTTAATCTGTCTGTTAACGCTGTCGAAGGCATGTTTTGTGACATGCAGCAACTCGTTTGTAAGGGTTTGGATGGTATTGGTAAGAGTCGTGCGCGCTGATATGACCGCTTTGTCGACCGCATCAGTCGCATTTATCAATACTTTTTCCGCATCCTTAACGAGCTGTTCGATGTTATCAATTCTGTTTCGAATGTCAATTCGTAGTTGTTCCATAAGTCCATCTGCTTCCTCTATCTTTGCGTGAACGCTGCCAGGATCCTGTACATTCTGAAGCTTCTCGAGCTTAGCAGCAACTTCTGTCTGGATCTCTTGTAGTTTTATATCAATTGTACCTTGTTTGTTATCCATTACATACGTTTTAAGTGCGTCGAATTGTTGTTGTAGTTCCTTCACCTTAGTGCCAAGACCAGTTATATTGAACTGGTCGCCATTGTCTATTTTCCTGTGTGCTGCCGCCACTTTTTGGGCTGCGTGTCTGATAGCCGTCTTTGCAGCTTGTTGGATACGGTCTATGGCGTTAGAGTTGAACCTGTTTACGGCCGGCCCAAGTCCACTTTTGACTTGTTCAGTGAATGCTTTTTCAAGATTTTCCACTTCATCTCTTACACGCCCCAACCACGTATCAACAGTTCTAGCTGTTCCATTTGTGAAGAGAGAACCATGAGTAGTTGCTTTGTTGAGATTGTCAGCAAGAGGTTTAAGTGCAGGCTGCACGGTAGAAAAGGCTTCATCGATCTTTTCTCCATGACTAGTATTGGTATTACGAAATTGCTTTCCAATATTTTGAACGTCCGCTACTGCATTTTTCAACTTCTCAATACTGGACTCCGTCATGAATTTACGTATCTCCTCGGTAAGTTTGTTGGCGATCAACTTAACAGAGGATAGAGTATCTCTAATGGCAGATGTGAGGTGAGTTTGGCTGTCGGCGCGGGTAGATATGCGCAATCTTGAATGTAACTGTTCAGCGATACTGCTACCATAGTTTGGATTAACTTTCTCGGCAAAGTCAGCAAGAACCCGGTGAATGTGGTTTAAATAATCTGCAACACTTTCGGTAGATGTGGGCATTCTAGGAACGTTGCTTGCCATACCAGTTATCTGCATTTTGATGCCCATTTCTACTCTATTCACGTTGTGCAACTCACTCCCAACGTAATTCTCAATATGCGTTTTAACTGGCTGAGCTTTAAAAATATCTCCCACCCAACCGTCGACTATGTTTTTAAACGAAATCTCATTAAATTTATCCGCACACCTCTTAATGCCATCAACGATTGCACCAAGATGACCGGATTGACCATATTTTCCATTCGTATAAAGTTGTCCAACAAGCCTCTGAATTTCCTCTCTAAGGTCAAACCAATGCTTCTTCATACCATCATTTCCGTCGCCAACCGGTCCAAGCACTCCATCTCTAATCGCGGCAACCTTGTTTTTAATTTCTGTAATAACCAGTTCTATTTTCTGATTTGTTTTGCCTTCTCCCGCCTGTCCATTCGTAACAACGCCGTACAGCTTCCCAATAGCCGTCTCCACATTAGTAACCAACTTGGTAATCGGCTCATATATCACACCATGAAACCTAAGTTCAAGGTTGCCATCCTCCGGCACAACACCTGACTCTTTGGAGGCAGCGATCTTATCAAGGGGCTTCTTAGCTTCCTCAAGCAGCCTCAACTGCTTACTCACGACGTTATCAAAACCGGACTCACTTTTAACCTTGCCATCAAGCCCACTAATCTCCCCTTGCAACGCCCCCAAATCCTGTCTTGCACCATCCTTCACTTTGCCCTCAAACTCACTTGACAGCTTGTTCAACGTCCCCTGCATCGTACTCACCAACTCGTCAAGCCGTGCCTTTCTGTCTGATAGATCCGTAAATACTCTAGTAACATCTTTCTTAATCGTATCTATGACGTCAATGATTTTATTCTTGTAATTTCTATTAAACCCATCATTGAGGAAATGTTGAAGATCCCTCAATGACCCTCCTATAGCATTAAGCCGCTCTCTCCTTTTGTCTTTCATACTCTCAATTGAATTCCAAATCTTATCAGTCTCATTCTTCAATGTCGCTTGTATATTTGCAGATTGCTCTTCTATCTTTCTAATTACCTGTTTTTCCTGATAGTCTATTTCATTATCCACATTTCTCACCTGAGTCTCCAGCATCTTACACGCCACGCTCTCCTTTAGCACCTGCACAGATTTCTCAACAACTCTCATCTCATGCATTATTTTATCACGTAGAGTATCATCTAATAGATTAACGTTATAGCTTTCTACGTTGTCAATTTCACGAACTATTCGCGACACCGTTGACTTCCACTCGCTCAACTGGTCCTGAAGCCTCTCCCTTGATCGCCTTGAAACCTCTTCATAGTATTGTCCACCTGCATCAGATGATAATTTAGTAATCAACTTACCTAATTTGTCCTTCACTGCTCCAGTCCTCTCCTCCACCTGCGTCCAATATTTTTGTAACCATCCACTTACCTTTTCAACCTGCTCACCAAATACACTGCGTCCCTGGCCAATGGAAGAGTGGAGATTTTGAAGGACAGTATGTAAATCATAATTATTATCTGTTAATTTAATGTAACTATCATATTTCTTAACGTTATCATCATCCTTTACACTTTGCAGAACTCCATGAAGGAAAGACATCACCCCGTCGCACAGCCTGTCAAGGTCCGAGTACACAATTCCTTCTCCGGTGTAATTACCATCTTTGAGGCCGAGAAATTTTTCGAGGCCTGTGCAGAGGTTATTTAATAATGTTGTTGAAGGATTATTTTAGGCACATTTTTAGGGCGATTTGGGATAATTTGGGGAAAGGCGATTTTAGGTCAAGGAGGCAGTGAGGCAGCGAGGGAGGTGGGTGGACAAGGCGAGGGAGGTGAAGAGGCGAAAGAGGGCGGTGAAGGGGGTGAAGGCAGGGAGCGAAGCGACCAGTGAAGGAGGGAGGTGGTTGGGTGGTTGAGTGGGTGGTTGAGTGATACACAGATCACACGTGAAGGCACGGTTATGGTGAGTAGTACTTGACGTTGGCGAGTGCCTTGACGCGAGCGGCGGCGAGCAGCGACTGCGCGGCGATGCGGTGGCTTGCGGGTGATCTCAGGTGGGAGCGTATCCTCAGGACGTCGAGGCGGACGACGGTGATGTGCAGCAGGTACAGGAGCGACAGCGACCAGAGGGCTAATAACGTAATGGAGAAGAAGTTGAGAAATGTTGAAGGATTATTTTAGGCACATTTTCAGGGCGATTTGGGGGAGTTTGGGGAAAGGCGATTTTAGGTGAAGGAGGCAGCGAGGGGGTGAGGGAGGTGGGTGGAAAGGCGAGGGAAGTGAAGGGGCGAAAGAGGGCGATGAGGGAGGAAGATGGGTTGGGATAAGGCGATTTCGGAGGAAGAGGGGGAAGGTGGAAAATGAGGATTTGGGTGAAGGGCGCCGACGGAGGAGGTGATGGAAGGGGGTGGAGGAGGAGGGAGCGAAGCGACCAGTGAAGGAGGAGGTGAGTGGGTGAGTGGGTGAGTATGTGGTTGAGTGGGTGAGTATGTGATTAGGTGAGTGAGTTGGTGGGTGAGTGAGTGGGTGGGTGAGTGGGTGATACACAGATCACACGTGAAGGCACGATTATGGTGAGAAGTACTTGACGCTGGCGAGTGCCCTGACGCGTGCGGCGGCGAGGAGGGACTGCGCGGCGATGCGGTGGCTTGAGGGTGATCTCAGGTGGGAGCGGATGCGGAGGACGTCGAGGCGGACGACGGCGATGTGCAGCAGGTAGAGCAAAGAGAGGGACCAGAGGGATAATAAGAGGAAAGTGAAGAAGTTGAGAAATGTTGAAGGATTATTTTAGGCACATTTTCAGGGCGATTTGGGGGAATTTGGAGAAAGGCGATTTTAGGTGGAGGAGGCAGTGAGGGAGGTGGGTGGACAGGGTGAGGGAGGTGAAGGGGCGAAAGAGGGCGATGAGGGAGGAAGAAGGGTTGAGGTAAGGCGATTTTGGAGGTGGAGGGGGAAGGTGGAAAATGAGGGTTTGGGTGAGGGACGCCGACGGAGGAGGTGAGTGAAGGAGGAGGGAGGAGGGAGCGAAGCGACCAGTGAAGGAGGTAGGTGAGTGGTTGGGTGGTTGGGTGGTTGAGTGGGTGGTTGAGTGGGTGGTTGAGTGGTTGAGTGGGTGGGTGAGTGAGTATGTGAGTGGTTGAGTGGTTGAGTGGTTGAGTGGGTGGTTGAGTGGGTGAGTGGTTGAGTGGGTGGGTGAGTAGTGAAGGCACGATTATGGTGAGAAGTACTTGACGTTGCCGAGTGAGCTGATGCGTGCGGCGGCGAGGAGGGACTGCGCGGCGATGCGGTGGCTTGAGGGTGAGCGCATGTGCGAGCGTATCCTCAGCACGTCGAGGCGGACGACGGCGATGTGCAGCAGGTACAGGAGCGACAGCGACCAGAGGGCTAATAAGAGGTAGGAGAAGGGTGTACGGATGGCCCAGATGAAGTTATCTATTGCGTCGAATAAATCATGGAATTGCTGAGAATATACTACTCTCTTAAGCTGTGCACTGAACATTCCACATTTCTTTGTGGATTCAAGTGTCTTCGCACTTCCAAATGTGAATCCGTATTGATAGAATGTTGATACAACGCTGCCACATTTTACAACCGAGTCACACTTACAGGCATCTTTGTCGCCGTGCTTACCGCTGCCGCAGTTACAGGATGAGCATCCATATGATTTGCATTGAGCATTCTGGATGGCCTTAAGGAAGCAATCAAGCAATTGCCAGAATCTCCATGCTAGGTGTACGAACCATGACAGGTGAAGTCCAGCCTGTTTTTGAGAATATGTATGATAGGCATGGACACACAGAGGCTGCATATATTGACCGCATGTGCCTGGGATTTTGCAGTTCGAACGGAAGGTAATACTCGATAGGTCCGAATGGGTGCTCGACAGCGTCTTGGGGTCTGCATCGTCTGCAGGAGGATTGTTGTGATTGTCGACAGATTTCTCTAATTTAGTCAGTGCGTTGGTGAGAATGGCATTACTGAAATTTTCGTGATACCACTTGTGCAGTGGGAACGCAGCCTCTATGGTCTCATCGGTCAAGTGCTGTATAAAATCGGCATTTTGGCCATATCGTAAACGGTCAGTTCTACTGTCTACTTTCCTCCATTGGAAGAAATTGCAGAATAAGGAGAACATGTCTGGTAAACTGCTAGGTGGGGATGGAGACACAAATTGCAGACATCGCAGCAGAGCGCAGAGGGGAGACTCTGCATCTTTACAGAAATCGGAAAGCACAACATATATGTCACGCCCCTTTTTGTTTATAGACGCCGAAGTTGTCAAGTCCCAGAAACCCATAGGTGTCAGACACGGTTGGCCAGGGGACATCTTAGGACAAGTGTTGCAAGTTGACTTACAGCCAACAGACGTTACCGCGTGCGGCAACATTCCGGGAAGGCTGTCGGTCAAGTGTGCCTGCAGAGGAGATTTCGGGACACATTCCGCATCGGAGTGGGATGAGTTTTTACACGGCAACTGGTAAGCGGAGACATCTTTGCCGTAGCGGCAATCACGCCAGCCGTTGGCCGTAGATGCGTCGTATGAGCATCGTGTGCGTAAGAAGTAGAGAGATCGAAGTAAACGTGAGCACATATCTTTCAACACATCGATCAGAGTAGAGACGCTATCTGGATAATGGAAACCACGGGAATTGTCCGCGAAATTGCAAGCGTAGGGGTAATCGGCGTTGGCAGCGCCGTGACCATTTCCGCATATTGTTTTGAGGAGTCGATAAGAAATTCGGCATGTAGACGAGAGGCTATAATATAAGTCTGTAGTTAGGATTTTACTTATTACTGCGTCCTCCTTGTTAGGGTATTTGCCTGTCGCATTGTCCTTCTCCTCAAGCATCTTTTCACAATGCTTTTTAATCTGGGCGGATACTCTGGTGTATGGGAGACCGGACATCCACGATAACATGTCACGGACAGTCGATGGATACGTGTTGGATTTAGGGAGTTTAAGATGACACACTCGCAAATAGTCTGCGAAATACTCATATAATTGGACCACATCTCCTTGGTAGGCCTCATCATCTGAGAACGGCCGGCTAATAATGCTGTTATTTTCGAGCAGAGTAAGAATATTATTTCCGGTGAACATGTCTTTATTCCTTAATTCACCTTCATGGGAGCCTTTTTCCTTGGACACCGTAAATCCTTGGTGGTCTAACCACACGCCTAGTTTGTTTTCCGTTCTTTTTCCATCCCTGGGCGATGGTTCATAGAGGTAAACACGTTTCTTTTCACAAGGACCATGCTTGGCACATCCATCCCGCAACAACTTTAAGTCCTCATAGATATTCGCAATGATGGTAACGAGAACGCTGGCGCACTTCTCACCATCAGACGTCAACTTTGTGTTTTGGGTGTCCATTTGGTTACCATTTTGCCCAGCGATTTGGTCAGTGTCCTGAGTTACCCACTGAGTGATCGGCTGACACCCCTCGTACTTGTTAACGTACTGCATCTGCAACTCCTCGACAAATTTTTGCATTCCCTTTTGCAGCGCCCCAAGCACGGGCCGTCCTGCGTCCGGCATTTCCAGTGGTTTCAGTCCGTTGACTTTTTCGGACAGCTTGGAGAGCCTGTTGGAGACTTCGTGGGAGAAGTGTTTGGACTCCGAAATGCCAATAACAATATTTCTGAAAACCATGCACAGTAGTTTGATTTCTTTTGTAATTTTATAGTCTCCCTTTGCTTGTGTTTTTACTTCATTTTGTATATAATCGGTAACTGGTATGAGGAATAAGTCGAGGTAACTGGCCGTGAAAAATAATTCATTCTGGTTTTTTACAGTATCAAGCACGCCTTTTTGCGTATTCATCTTATCCAAAAGACCTTTCACGCCGCTTTCCTTATCCTTCCTAATGATCTCGGTGATCGCAGCGTTTTGCTCGTTTACGAGATCTTTCAACGCCTTTAAGTCCGCCTTATGCTGCTCGCAGAACACCTCTTTTACCTTGTCGTAAACAGCCTTGAAGGCTTGAGTGACTTTGTTGTTGAGGTGAAGTTGCGTGTCAGTGATTTCCTTTTGCAGAGCGTAACGGGCTGATTCAACTGTGTCTTTGGCAGTGTCAATGGCCGTTCGAAGAGACGTGTTAAATGCATTGATTTGTTCACTAATGTTCGTAATACTGCTCTTAAGCTCTGCAACACGCTTCTTTAGTGACTCAACCCGCTGCTTAATTTCATTATTGGCCTTGTCGTTAACCGCTTCCGTGAGTTCCTTCAGATCACTAATCTGCTTCTGAAGAGACTGAACCAGTTGGTAAATATTGTCCGCTTGCACAACGGAATCCTTATTCAATTTATCGATGTGCGTCTTGATATTCGGACTAATATCACTAAGACCATTGTTAATGCAATGCCACACCTTAGCATTTAACATGGTGATACCTTTCTCCCCGCAGAAGTGAGCAGTTTCTCCAGTGGAGATTTGAAATCGCCCTTGATGGCTTCAGCGCTGGCCTTAGATTGGATTGCATTTCCAAGCTTGTGTGGGTCGTCTACAGCTTTAACTTCATCTCCAAGCCTATTACCAAGTTGCTTAACCTCTCTGATAGCTACCTCCACGTTCCCAATTTTTGCCTCTTCGGCGAACCATTCAAGTTCCGTCGCAGCTTTCGTGACTTTGGGAAGGAGTTGTTTAAGCATATTATAGATGGCAGTTTGAAAAGTAAATTCTGGATTGTAACCGCGTTCTTCGGTATTTTTCTGCAAAACTCCCTTGTCAATTGCTGTGGCTATCTCCTTAACAAACGGATGTGAATCACCGGACGTTGTGATCTTCCCACTCTCCAGCTTTCTTGCAAGCGTTGTGGCGAATTTATTGCAAGCATCTCGGGCATCAAGAATCATTTGTTTAATGTTATTGCTTTCAGCCAGGTAGGATGGGAAGTTTGCGGAAATCCTTCTTGTAAGCTCATCCTTAATTGTCCGTATAAAAGTATCTTTGTTACTATTATCGTTAACATACTTCCCAATCCTATGCTTAATCGTACCTTTATCATCCAATATATCTTCCATCCATTTTTGCAGTGTTTTTTCAAGCCCATTATCCCTCCGCCCCTGGGTGAACTGTTCAGCGTACTGCCTCGCAATATGGACAATTTCATCTAACTGTCCGTCTATACCATCCTGATGCGCAATATTACCAGCAAACGATGATATTTTATCTATAATTTTCCGAGGCAACTCACCCTCAACATAAGCTTTAACGTTCCTTTTTATTTCTTGCTTGAGCGTCTCAATTGCCTGTTGTAAGTCAAGTTTAATATTTTCCAGCCCGGTACCCAAATTAATTCTCACAGCATTTCCAAGCCCGCCAAGCTCTACCAACTTTTCCTCAAGCGCCTCCAACTGCTTACCAACTTCAGTGAACACTGTATTTAGGCCACTTGAAATTGGGGTGGTGTCAAGTGGTGTGACTTGCTCATTTATATCGTTCAATTTCTGAGCAATCTCAGAATCGTATCTCGTTACTAGATTGTTGGCGTCTTTATCTGCAGTGATTACGCTTGTCTCCAACTTCGCGACCAACTCTAGCAACTCCTTCAACTTGGTGGTACGCTCTTCTCCAATCTTATCAATATCAGCATTTATGGCTTCAAACTTTGTCTTTAACGTGAGTTGCAGAGCTTTACATTTCTTCTCTATTTCGTCTCTGACATGCGCTTCCTTCGCATCGATTTCACTATCAACCGCCTTCACCTTAGCGGCAAAGTCACCGTTCCCTGCCACACTCTGCAAGTGCTCGACAACCTTAGTTATCGGGTCTACTTTGTTCATTATTTGTGCGCTAAGTGTAGGATCTAGTGTCTTAATATTACGTGTTTCTATGTCATTAAGTTCAAATTTAATCTTCTGCACGGTCGACGTCCAACCCATTAGTTGAGTGCCGAGCCCAGAGTTCTCTTGATTCTCCACTTCCTTGTAATACTCATTTCCACCTGCACCAGATGAACTGTCACTATTTAACTTACCTATAAGTGTAGATAATCCTCCAGTCACTGCTTTTGTCTTCTTGGCAACTTCCTTATCATACCTCTCCAACCACTCCTTCACCTTAGTGACAGACTTCGAAAGGCCTCCACGCCCGGAGCCAATTTTAGATTGTAAAGTGGAGAGAACTTTATCAATTTTATGTTCTTCATCAATGTATTCATTATATGTTGTAACGTTATCATCATCCTTAACACTCTCCAACACCCCGTGCAAGAACGCCATCATCCCGTCACACAGCCTGTCAAGGTCCGAGTACACGATGCCAGTGCCATCGTAGCCTTTGGATGATGGGTTGAAGCCTAGGAAGGTCTCAAGGCCAGAGCACAGGTTAGTAAGTAAATCACGTGGATTATTAGCTGACACTGTTTCAAGTTGCTTAGCATATCCACAAAGCCCATTCAGTGTCCCAAGAGACTTCATGGAAGCCTGATGAGAGTCAAGAGATTTAGACTCTTTTTCAGGGAAATCATTTTGTGCTTCTTTAAGGTCCTTTTCAGCTTCTTTAAGCTGCTTTTCAATTTGATCTTTATGATTTTGCTTAGCATCAATTTTCTTTTTAAGCTCATTCACTTGAGATTGAAGCTTATCAACTTTATTTTTCTTAGGTTCAAGTGACTTAATTTGCTTTTCAACAGCGGAAATTACACTTGTAATTTGACCTTGAAGCTTGGAACTTTGTTGGAAAATTTGTGTTTTAAGGGTCTCAATTTCCTTTTTGTGCTCTTCAACTTGCTGTGATTGAGGTTGAAGCTTCATTTTGTCTTGCTCAGAAAGAATTTTAGTAAGCTCATTTTCATCATTTTCAAGCTTCTCAAGCTGCTTTTTAACACTTTCCATCTGAGTCTTAAGACCATTAATTTGAACATCATGACCATCACACTTCCCATCTCCGCAAGACGTTTTTAAAAGCTTTTCAAGCTGATTTACATTACTGTGCAAGCCCTTTACAAGTGCATCTTTGACTTCTCCACTCCCACCAATAAAACCCGAAAGCTGTCCAGCAAGCTGACCAAGAGAGATACGGCGGGCATCAATATCCTCCAATGCCTTCTCCCTGGCTTCATCAGTAAGGTAATGAACTTCATTTAATGGTCATTGTACTTAGATTGAAGGTGGATTAAGGGAGAGTTGAGAGAAGTAAAGGGGGATGAAATGGCACATTTTTAGGGCGATTTGGGGGAGTTTGGGGAAAGGCGATTTTAGGTCAAGGAGGCACAGGGGCAGTGGAGGAGGTGGGTGGACAGGGTGAGGGAAGTGAAGGGGCGAAAGAGGGCGATGAAGGAGGAAGAAGGGTTGAGGTAAGGCGATTTCGGAGGTGGAGGGGGAAAGTGGAAAATGAGGATTTGGGTGAAGGACGCCGACGGAGGAGGTGATGGAAGGGGGTGAAGGCAGGGAGCGAAGCTACCAGTGAAGGAGGGAGGTGGGTGAGTGGTTGAGTGGTTGAGTGGGTGGGTGAGTGAGTGAGTGAGTGGGTGAGTGAGTGGTTGAGTGGGTGGGTGAGTGATTAGGTGAGTGGGTGAGTGGGTGGTTGAGTGGGTGGTTGAGTGGGTGGGTGAGTGGGTGAATGGGTGAGTGGGTGGTTGAGTGAGTGGGTGAGTGATTAGGTTAGTGGGTGAGTGGTTGAGTGGGTGGTTGAGTGGGTGGGTGAGTGGTTGAGTGGTTGAGTGAGTGAGTGAGTGGTTGAGTGGTTGAGTGGGTGGTTGAGTGTGTGGGTGGTTGAGTGAGTGGGTGAGTGGGTGGTTGAGTGGTTGAGTGGTTGAGTGAGTGGGTGAGTGGTTGAGTGTGTGAGTGAGTGGGTGGTTGAGTGGTTGAGTGGTTGAGTGGGTGAGTGATACACAGATCACACGTGAAGGCACGATTATGGTGAGAAGTACTTGACGTTGGCGAGTGCCCTGACGCGTGCGGCGGCGAGGAGGGACTGGGCGGCGATGCGGTGGCTTGAGGGCGATCTCAGGTGTGAGCGTATCCTCAGGACGTCGAGGCGGACGACGGCGATGTGCAGCAGGTAGAGGAGCGACAGCGACCAGAGGGCTAATAAGAGGAAAGTGAAGAAGTTGACAAATGTTGAAAGATTATTTTAGTCACATTTTCAGGGCGATTTGGGGGAAATTGGGGAAAGGCGATTTTAGGTGAAGGAGGTGAGTGGACAAGGTGAGGGAGGTGAAGGGGCGAAAGAGGGCGATGAGGGAGGAAGATGGGTTGAGGTTAGGCGATTTTGGAGGTGGAGGGAGAAGGTGGAAAATGAGGATTTGGGTGAGGGACGCCGACGGAGGAGGTGATGGAGGGGGTGATGGAGAGGGAGCGACAGCGACCAGTGAAGGAGGAGGTGAGTGAGTGGTTGAGTGGGTGATGAGTGGTTGAGTGGTGAGTGGTTGAGTGGTTAAGTGGGTGAGTGAGTGAGTGGGTTGGTGAGTATGTGGTTGAGTGGGTGAGTGGGTGGTTGAGTGTGATGATTACGGTGGTTGAGTGGGTGAGTGAGTGGGTGAGTGAGTATGTGAGTGAGTGGGTGAATGGTTGAGTGGGTGGGTGGTTGAGTGAGTGGTTGAGTGGGTGGGTGAGTGAGTGGGTGGTTGAGTGGTTGAGTGGTTGAGTGGTTGAGTGTGTGGGTGAGTGGTTGAGTGTGTGAGTGGGTGATACACAGATCACACGTGAAGGCACGATTATGGTGAGAAGTACTTGACGTTGGCGAGTGCCTTGACGCGTGCGGCGGCGAGTAGTGACTGGGCGGCGATCCTGTGGCTTGAAGGTGATTTTAAGTGGGAGCGTATCCTCAGGACATCGAGGCGAACGACGGTGATGTGCAGCAGGTAGAGGAGCGAGAGCGACCAGAGGGCGAGGAGGGTGTAAGAGAAATTCTCTCTTATCTTCCAAATGAATTCATCGATTTGCTTGATTAGTTGAATAAGTGCGGATTCCTCCTCTAGGATCTTCTTCAACGCACTGCAGAAATCCTTGCACGTTCTTCTAGCTTCCAATGCGTCACCTGTGCCGCATAATCCCAATGGTTTCCCAAAACTGAAGCCGTACATATATAGCGTGGGCAGTGTGTTTTGGCATCTGACAATGGAACTGCAATTTTCAGTGTGATTTTTGCCGTTGAGTTTTTTCTGGTCTCCATCTGCATCATCAGATGTTTGAGCATCATATGCCTGTTTTACTTGACATTTATCAGCACATCTTGTGCCATGACATTTGGCTCCCGGAGACGTGCAGTTATTACAGCACTGCTTATATAATCTGTCCAGCAAACTATACAAGGTCTCAGCCGAGTACAAAATCCACGACAGGTATTGTTTGTTGTGGTACGACGAGAAAATGCTATAGAGGTTATATGAAAGCGATTCGACGTAGACACCACATGTATCTACTGCTCTATCTTCGCATTCGGATATGGTGAACAGATCACCTTCGGAATGGTTTGACTTGTTCCCCGATTGATGTACACGGGTGGTGAACAAAATAGTCGGAGTCAAGTCCGAATATTCCTGGCCGAAATAAGCATCCTTAATGGCCTTACTAAAGGCTAAACATTTATGCTCTCTACCATGGTCAATCCAGTTTGCCAGATAGCCACGGAGGAAACCGAAAATATCATCAAGCGTCTGAGGTGCTCGGCGGAGTACGCAGTTCAGCATGTTACACAGCCTAGTGAGGGCAGAATACGGACCGCAAAAATTGTTAAGAGCATCCTTGAGATATTCACCTGTTTTCGTATGTGAAGCAACGACACCTATATCGGCAAAGCCCATTGGCGTCTTACAAGGCAGACCCCTATGATTGGATACCGTACACGTTATCTTGCAGCCGGGACTGCTAAACGAATGAGGCAAGAACCCTTGCAATCCGTCCTCTAAGAAAGATTGCAAAGGGGATTTCATACCACAATCGGGGTGTTGGTCACAGCGTTGGTCAGCTGTTTGCTTTAGTGTTTGGTCAGGGTTTTGGTTCACCTTTTGGTTGGCACTTAGCTTACACTCTTGGTTAGGGCATTGCTTATCGTTACACTGCCAACCTGAGCCAGACACGTACCTGCCGTACGAGCAGTCTTTCCACCCGCTGTGACTTTTGTCACCGAGGCACTGCCTACACAGGAACCACAGTTGCTGATACAGTCTAAATAACACATCAACTAACATGTCTAAGCACGCACCACCACTACCTGGATACAATAAATTACTTGAGTTAGTGAGGTGATCGGAGGCATACACACCGTCCGCATGGCCGTGGCCGAGCACGGCGACTAATGTTTCTCCGGCGAAGTAGCAGACGTTATCAAGTGCGTTGGTTAATTGGGCAGAGTTTATAGGTGATTGAATCACGCGTTGCATATCGTATGGCACGGCGACTGGTAATTCTGTCTTCTCCAATTTATGCTCTTTTTGTAGGCCCTTAAGCACACTGCCAAGCTGGCTCTTGACTTCACCGTACATGTGATTGTACTTGAGGCCGGCAGTCCATTGGAGCATGTTATAGATGTTACTCGGCGCTCTTGGCTTTGGTGGGATGTAGTAGTGAGAGACACGGTTGTACTTCTCAAGGAAGTAGTGGCACAAGTTGAGGATGTCGATGAGAGTAATTTGGTTGTTGCTATTCTTGATTTTAATTTTAATTTTGGAAGCGTCAAGTTTATGCTCAACCAGTTTAGTCTTAATTTGTTCACCCGTCATGCCCCTCTTCAAGTGACCATTCTGCTTCTTGTCATCTTCCGGCACTGTGAAGCCGCGGGAGTGGAACCAGAGGGCCACCATATTTTCCTTAGTGGGCGTATTAATTTGTTTCTTACTCCACTCACCGCTGCAGTTCCTCTGCAGACTATACATGTCTGTCACCCAACCAGGGAGACAGGTGAGGAAAACCTTAGACAGCTTCTTGCCGTAGTCCGTCAATTTGCGTTTGTCGTCTGACGTAGTGGGATCCTGAGGATCAAGCAACGCACCGTCAAACTTTCTACAACAGTACGTGCTCACATATGCGTAGCCGAGTTGCTTGGCCAGGGCGCCGATTCCGTCCTTGAGCGCTTGCAGGATGGGACTGGAGGAGTCAGTGAATTTGGCGGGGGAGAATGTAGATAGTGCTGTGTTGAGGGATTTTAAGTGGTCACTGAAATTGTGGTCGAAGTGTTTGGAATAATGAAGATCTTGAAGCACAGCTTTCAGTGCTTCATACACCTTTTCGTATTTAGAGGGTTCTGGTAGCGTTGTGTGAGAAGAAAGAAGTTCGGGCGGCCACGCATCAAACTCCTTTCGTTGTTCTTCAAACTGATAGAAGACGTTTCCCAATCCTGCATTAAAATGTTCGACAGCCTTGCTCAGTGGATATGTTTCCTTGGCTGAGGACGTAGAATCAATCTTGTTAATTTCCTCAAGTTTGTCAACCAGTTTCTCGTTGAATATTTTCATGAATCCTTTTAGTCCCGTTCTACTGTCTATATAGATTTTATTCTCAATTAGATCTTTCTGTTCTTCCACCAGCTCCTTGAGCTTCTGGAGCGCGTGGGCCTTGGACGCGGCGAACTGGGAGAGGGCTTGGCGTTTGATGGAGGTGGCGGCGGTGGTGGATTGTTTTTTGTAGGCCTGATGGAAGGATTCAATTTCTTGGAGGAATCGGTCCTGGAAATCTTCAAGGGCCTTTTTCAGTTGGTCGAGTAGTGTGTCCAACTGGAGCTGGGAGTGGATTAGGATATCAATTACGGCTTGGAAGTCATTATCTATATTCTGTCTCAAAAGAGTCAACTGCTGAGTAATTTCATTTTTCTTAGTGTCTATTGTGCCTTTTTCGGTACTTTCTTTTTTTAGGTTATTAAGCTTCTCACTCACTTCACTAAGTGTTCTGATTTTGGACTTAAGCGTACCCGTTGTTGTATCTAATAGTTCTCCCAGCTTGTTAATCTCTCCCTTGACGGAGTTCAGTGCGTGAGAAATCCGATGGGCGGGTTTGCTGGGATCGTTGTATTTAGAGTTGAACGATCGGAATCTATCAAGAGCATCATGAACGTTCCCCATGTGGGAATCGTTGATGAGTTTAGCAAGTTCAGATGCCGTGCCAGCAGCGACTTTGGTTACTGTGGTGAACATGGTTTTGAGGGCGGTAGTCAGATCATGATTATTTGTTTTTTGTGGACCTTGAGATTGCTTTACCACAGCACCTTCAATTGCTGATAATATTGGATCAACGTTTTTACCAGTTAGTTTCTCTTCAAGCTGTTTGGCAAAGCTACTGAAATTTGACGCAATGTTAGTCACGTTACTGCCTTGAATATGCGGCGCTTTAGAACACTCATCTACCAGTTGTGGAATTACAATCTTCAGGCAATCGTTAATGGCTTTTTTTACATTATTTATTTTCTCAGTTCTCGTACCACCACTCAGGAGACCGTCGTTTGTGGTATCGTCAACGTACCATCCAATATACTGATCCACAGCCGAATTATTCTCCTCCAGCATCTTCTTAATCATCGTCTCAATGGCAAGTTTAAATCTATTGGGAAAATCCTTGGCGTATCCCTGGACGCCTTGGTAAATTTGCAATAGACCACTTTTCTCATCACCATTTACCTTTCTAACCAGATGCCACGTCTCCTCTTTAAGCTCCTTCCAGTGATATTCTATGAACCCTTCTCTGATTTTATCTCCACCGAGATATTTCATTTGTATAAAAGGCTCTTCAGCCTGTCTCACCAAATCCGTAAGCTCCCTCTTCTTTTCTGTTAAATTTCCATGAACGCTTTCAAGTTCTTGTTTTATATTCTCGAACGCCGTTATAATTCTCTGTTTCACACCGTTTTTCTCATTAGTAAACCCATTATTAGACTCTATTTTAGCTTTCATAAGACTCTGCTTGCCTTTTTCAATAGACGTCTTCACAGAGCCATTTCGCGCCACTTGGATTTTCTGAAGAATTCCACTAATACCATCTCTGAATTTCTTTATCAGTCCATTTTGCGGATTTTTCAATCCCTTCTCAACCATCTCATCCAACTTCCCAAACTCCTCATCCACCCTCTCACACACCTTCTTAAGCCCATCGTGATCCTGCTTAGTGGAGTCCACAAAAGTGTCCACTCTGTCTTTAATTAGGGAGACGTGGGGAGATAATTCTTTTTTGAGGTTTTGATCTAAGGCTTCAAGTGCTCTCACCGAGAGGTTGCAATAGGTTTTTAGCGTTGGAAGAGACTTGAGCCAAGATTTCAAGTCCACTTTTTTGTCATCATAATTATGATCAATTAAATTCCTAATGTCTGTGGTAATTGCAGGAATGTAATTGTTTTCAATCTGAAGAAGATGACCGGTAACATGTTCGTTTTTTAATTTCACATCCCCCAACCACCTCTCAATCCCCTCCTTGACACGGTCAATCACATCATGCAAACCTGTTTTGCCGTTATTAAGTTGACCATCTAAAGCTTCTACAGCTTTATCTAATTTCTCTTTATAAGGCGAAAGGTTATTATTTTTATGAACATCATTAAGCACCCCGTGCAAGAACGCCATCACCCCGTCGCAGAGCCTGTCAAGGTCCGAGTACACGATGCCGGAGCCGTCGTAGCCTTTGGAAGTTTCTTGGTATCCAAGGAACTTCTCCAGGCCAGAGCACAAATTTGTTAAAAGGTTTTTACAGTTATCACTTTGTTGATTATTAAGAGAACTCAAAGACTCATTAAGGCTCTTCAGCTTCTGAAGAGCGTCCAACTTGGAAGTGAGAGACTCATGAGACTTATTAAGGTCATCGGGGACAGACATTTTTTGCTTTTTAAGTTCCTCTATTTTAGGTTTAAGACGCTTTTTAAGAGCTTCATAATGCTGAATTTCCTTACTAAGCTTATCATCATCTATGGACACAGCAGACACGGAAGTGGAAGACTGCACAGGCGAAGACGGAGACATTTTAAGGCTTTTGAATACTTCATCACTGTCAATAATAGCTGTAATACCATTATTAATTGCTTTAGTAACAGCGTCACTTTGGCCAATAAATTGGCCAAGCTTCCCACTGAGCTCAGCAAGAGACACCATCCTGGAGTGGATGTCCTTCAGTTGGGCAGTCCTGTCAGACTCAGAAAGGGAATGATATTTTTCGCACTCTTTTTTAGAGGCTTCATGCTGCTTAATTTGGGCATTTAAGGAGGAATAATTAGGACTTTGAGGAGTTTCAGATTTTAAGGATTCTTTAGCCTCAGCAATCTGGGCATCAAGAGACTGACAGTGGGACTTAGGAGAGTTATTAAAAGTGTAATGTCCGAGACAATTAAGGTGAGAAAAGCAAGGTAGA